AACTGTATTCAAGTGTAATATATAGCGATGGGTAATTCTTTATGAATTAATGGAAAACTTTCTTTGTATATCATTTTGCCTCCGAACTTGCAAATGAAGAAGAAAAAATCCTGGGGATTTGTCCCTCATTCTTTTCCATAGAATTGCAGTTTCAATTCACATAATTCTGTAATGTTTTAAGCATCATTATTGTGTCTTTCAATTTAACATAAAACGATCTAATATTTGTACTATATTCGAAGTCAACACCAAAATTCTTCAATTCTGCACAAGTATATGTCATCCTATCATTGTTTTATTTTGACTTTACGTTCTGTTTTTATAACTTAACATTTTACTGTTTCAAGTCAAGACCAAACTACTTCAAATTTACATCGTGTAGTTCGAAGTCAACACATTGTATGATAAGCCTCTCGTGACGTCATAATGATATAACATCGTGCTATCTTAGCTCAACAACACGTACTTTCAACTGTACGTCGTGTAGTTTTGAATGAGCATATTGTATGGCAAGCCTATCGTGATATTATTATGGTATAACATCGTGCTATCATAGCTCAACATCACATACTTTCAACTGTACGTCGTGTAGTTTTAAATGAGCATATTGTATGGTAAACCTATCGTGACATTCAAATGATATAACAACATGCTATCTTAGCTTAACATCACCTAGTTTCAACTGAAAGTCATGTAGTTTTAAACGAGCATATCGTGTGGTAAGCCTATCGTGGCATTCTAATGATATAACAACGTGCTATCTTAGCTTAACATCACGTACTTTCAACTGTACGTTGTGTAGTTTTAAATGAGCAAATTGTATAATAAGCCTATTGTGACATTATAATGATATAACATCGTGCTATCGTAGCTTAACATTACAAAATTTCAACTGTACGTCCTGTAGTTTCAAGTGAGCATCTCAGCTTAACACGTTGCATCGTGTTGTTTTAAGTCAACAAATTGTATGGTAAGCCTTTCGTTTCAATATAGTGGTGTAGCATCGTGTTATCTTAACTTAACATCATGTACTTTCAACTGTACATCATGGTGTTTTAAATCAACAGATTGCATGATAGACCTATCGTAATATCACAATGATATAACATCGTACTATCTCAGCTCAACATTTATTAATAACAAGTCAGCACCATACATTTTAGCTATTCACTTTATTTTTTATCATAGCTGTCGATGTGGATGACTGCGCAGTATCCATCTGCAAGCTAACATCATGCAACGTCAACTTCACATCATGTACTTTAAACCCAACGTTACGTGTGTTTGGCATATCATCACAACATCGTGACTTATCATTATACTATCACGACTAAAGCACTTGTCATTGCAAGTCAACATTGCACAAATTCAACTTAGCATATTGTAATTTAGAGTTAGCATTTTGATGACTCAATTCAACATCACGCTGTCTTAACTTTACATTTTAAGCTTCAGCATAACCTTTTGCAAATCTCTAATATATAACAGCTGAGGCTTTCCATACAAAATAGATACACACATACATGAGCCATGAAAACAACACAATTTTAAAGATACAGTGCATGGTAAGATAACATAGACGACACATAAAGATCATAAAAGTTAAAAGTGTAATTTCAGTCATATTTGAGAAATATGCATGTAAAATAATGTATATCTTAAAACATAGCATAAGTTAGAATATCAAGCACAGCAAAAAAACAAAAAAAAACCCCCAAAACCCCAAAAACATACAAATCAAGCAGTCAAACAAAATAAAAAAGTATTTGTTGTAGTTTTTATTTTTATACCAAGAGAAGTTATTATACATAAAGTATGATAAAAATAAATAAACCGTAAATGTAATGGCTGTCCATTTGAACATTTTAATCTTTACTATATGTTTTATTGGAGTGAAATATCCCGTTGCCTATCAAGTCAGGCAACAATTCGACTTGTTACTTCCGCTGTGTCTTAGGGTGTTAATAAATAAATAAATATCGAAAACAAAAACAAATTTTATAGTCTGCATGTGATCCGATAGCTAGCAAATTTCATTCATTTCGTTCCATCTGAATGAAGTCGTTTCCTGAAAATCGGAAAGCAATCGTTTCCCAGAATGACGCTGAAGGTAAACAATCTGAAAGACAGCGTTTCCTAAGATTTTTTTCAACGGTCATTAGGGGAAAGAAACACTAAGTAGTTAATACAATTCAATATTACCTCAACAGGAAGTTTTACAAAAAATCAGTATATCAATCATATTTCATGTCAACACAAGAGCATTTACTATATGGCTGTTGAAACCCTAAAGGACGAAACTTCAACCTTCAGTGGCATCGACCCTATGGTTGTAAAAACCAATAAAAGATACCAGGATTATAATTTGTTACTACATAAGCGCTTTTCGTCTACATCAGACTGATCAGTGGCACACAAATGAAACCAGTTGAAATGTCAAATCAAATACGAATTTGAAGAGCATTGAAAACCTTAAATTCTAAAAAGTGGTGCCAAATATGACTAAGGCCATTTATTCCTTGAAATAGAAAAATTTTAGTGTTTCGAATAGTTCAACATTACATAAACAGGAAATTAACACCAAAAAATGACCATACCAATGACATTCCAAGTAAACACAAAAGTGCTGACTACTGGTTAGGGTATACCCTCTGAACTGACCTGTCAGGACTGTGACAGTCTATATCACCAACTGTCCCCAAGAAGGTCATTAAAAGATTTATAGAAGGAGATTTTCTAGGATAAATCTTGAAATCACCACATTTGTCCTTCCCTACTCTACGCAGTGGGACTCGTCAAAGATTCCAGACTTATAATTTGATTTGTCAAACGCGCGTGACTTGTATAATAGTAAATAACTCATCACTGGCGCTCGTATCAAATCAGTTCTTGGGTTTAATCAAATATGAAGTTGAAGAGATTTGAAAACTTAACTTTCCAAAAACTTTATGCCAAATACGGCTAATCCATAGATAGAAATAGAAAAATTAAGTATTTCATATAATTCACATTACCGCAACAGGAAATTTACAGAAATTACCATATCAATGATATGTCATGTCAACACAGGAGTACTTACTACATGGTTGGTGAAACCATCGGGAGACCAACGTCCAACCAGCAGTGGCATCGATCAAGTGTTTGTATAAACTCGTCAAAGATACCAGGCTTATAGTTTGGTACTTCAGACGCGCTTTTTGTCTACACAAAACTCACCAGTAACGCGCAATTCAAAGCAGTTGGAATTTGAAGAATCTTGAAAACCTTTAATTCCAAAAAGGGGTGCCAAATATGACTGAAGCATTTATTCCCGGTAGTAGAAAAAGTTTAGTGTTTCGAATAGTTCAACGTTACATAAACAGGAATTTAACAAAAAAAAAACGACAATATCAATGATATTCCGTGCCAACACAATAATGCTGACTACTGGGGTGATTTTACCCTCGGAACTGAGGTAAAAGTGGCACTGTTGGCACGGCATTAAAACCTGTTTCATCCCACTACTTTCTGTTGAAACATTAAAAGTATCTGACTATGTCAGTTTATATCACCAACTTTTTGATACCTACTCTTGGTAGGACTCACCAAATATTCAAGGCTTTTAATTTGGTACGCCAGACGCCAGACGCACGTGAATTTTATTTAAACAATCAGTGGATCTCGAATCAGATCAAAATAAATATGAAGTCGAAGAAAACCAAAATGATATTTCCTGTCAACACAGGAGGACTTACTACATAACTGGAGAAACCCTCGGAATGAACGTGCAGTGGCATTGAGCCAGTGGTTGTGAAAAGCAAATAATGATACAAGGTTATAATTCGGTACGTCAGACACGCTTTCTGTCTACATAAGACTGATCAGTGGCACTCAAATCAAAGTATTTGGAAGGTCAAATCAAATCAAATACGAAGTTGAAGAGCATTCAAAACCTAAATTTCAAAATTGATGTGCCAAATCATAACTAAAACCGTATATGCTCGGGAGTAGAATATATAGATAAACAGACAAGTCTTAATTTTAGGACCCCTATGACGTTTAAATATTAACCATCCTTCGTTTGGGCTAGCGAGTTACCCATTTTAACATATATCAGAAATGTATCGGAAGAAATTTAAACATTTTTTCAACATCTGTTTAGCTAGATGAGTCCGGCATTTTTAAGACACTTATGGGAAACATCTCGACCGTCAGAAAAAATCCAACGTAGATATTGCGATATTTCATTGTCAGTTTCTCCTAAATTTCTACTTATTCAGTAAAGAAAGGTTGTCCTGGAAACTTTGTTTTAAATTTCGCAATCGGATATTAGGTATACCGGTTAGACGATTTACACTAACCTATATTAATGTATAAATTTGTGTATGTCTTAGGGTAAGATAAAAGACATAAACCAATTCGATACTTTATTAAACATAATCACAGGGAAAGACACGTCAACGAATTGTAAACAAGTATAATACACACCAGGAACTTTAACCCTTCCGGTTTACAAAGTTCACTCCAAGTCCGGGGTTTATGTTGCTTACATTTAGGTATCTGTGTAGTTTGTGTGGACTGCTGTTTGTAAGTAAGTCTTTTGTCTTATGGATATAATGTTGTCTTTCTTTTTCGACTAATGGTTTCGATTGCCCAAAACTTTTAACGTTGATTTGACGTAATATCACAAACCATATTTTTTAACCATAAAAATTTTTGTATAAAGAAACACGTTCATCGCTATAAAATCTTATGCCTTATATATGACTAAAAAAAGTTGACGATTGAATACCCCAAAAACTAGTAAAGCCATACCCGTATTAATGTGGGTGACCAAGTATAGGCATCATCGGTGATTGTCGTTATATCTTAGTGTTTTTATCGATGTAGATAGAAGCCACTTGCAGACTGTGTCATTCACAGTTTGCCTTTATTCGTAAGATTTTAGAGATTAACATATGGAAGACACTTTTTTGATTTAGAAATACCATACCAGTTATGTGTAATTTGTAATTTGTCACCTGATTCTTGTTTTGATTGATTATATTTTTCGTCGTCTTCGCTTTTCTGAGGAGATAGGATTTCGTCTTCACTACTCGCTAATGGTGACAGAGACTCGTCTGTTGTTCCGGGAAGTAATAATTCATCTTCAGAACTTGCCGGAATGGGAAAGTTGGTTGATAGTTTCTCATCTAAATAAAGTAACAAAAAAGCTTTGTATGAGTGCGGTCAAAATGTGTTATGCGCATGTATATTATCTAAAATATCTAGATATGCAGACATCGCAACAAATGTGCTTGTTGACGCTGGTTTAAAATGTCTCTGTATATCAAAACTGCATATATATATATATATATATATTATATGAAAAAAAAGGCTGAAAATGCGCTAAATATTTATATTCAATATGAATATTCACATTTTGTCTATTAAGACATCAAATTGTTTAAAAATGTTCTCCATAGTTTCCTACCGGTTTCACTGTTTCACAGATATTCATGGATATGGTTGCTAGCGACGTCGTCAGGGGCGATGTTATTAGCGATAACATTATTTAATCCTGAACGTCATAATATAGTACAACGTAGGTACTTAAAACGAAAGTTTAAGTATGTATCTTAATGCATTTAATCTTGTATCCCTTAATTCTGGATTTGAAATGATAGTACATATGCGTTTAGCTAGCTTATATGGTATATTTACTCTCGTATGTTTTGGATGACAGGATGTAAAAAGTAGATATTGTTTGGAATCAGTCGGTTTATAGAAAATGTCTGTTTCTATGTTTGTTCCGTTTTTTTATGATAAGAATGTCTAAAAATGGTAATTGGTTACTATTGTATTCCATAGTAAATTGAATGTTCTCGTTTATTTCATTGAGCAAATCTTTGAATTCCATTAACATATCTAAGCTGATATTCCATAAAATAAAACAGTCATCTAAGTATCTTTTACAATTTTCCATAAAAAACTTATAAAACAAATGTCCGAATTTTCGTTGTGATCTCCAATACATCTGGATCTCGAGGTATCCCATCTCTAGATTGGCATATGTAGGTGCAACTTTTGTACCCATTGCAGTGCCTGATTTTTGGCGATACATTTTGGTGTCAAACATGAAAGAATAAACCGAAGTCCTTCAATTATAATTTCCTTTTCTATTCGGTTAGGTAGTTCGGTTTTGTATTTTTCTATCCAATAATTAATTGCTTCTATTCCGTATTTATATGGAATATTCGTGTAGAGACTGACTACATCAAATGAAACTATTATAGTGTTACATTTCTACATTTTTCGGAAGATAGTTCAACACATCTAAGTCGTCTCTTATAAAACTTGGAACGTGTTTCAATAAAGGTTTGAGAAGAATATCTAAAAAGTTACTCAGTCTGTGCGTTTCACATGCAGGACCAGCAACTATCGGTCGCATTTTAAGATCGTTGAGTGCACATATATTTACACAAGAACTTTTGGTATGATTGCATGCTTCTTTAATCCTCAGACTTTTGTGAATTTTGGGTAGTCCATAGATCTGACTGGTTTTACATTTGAAATTTGTGATGTAATCGCATTCTTTCTTGGTTAACCCTTTACGATACAAATTTACTAATACAATTAATTTTGCAATGATCTTCTGTTGTTTATAATTGTTAACATTCTCATAATATGTATAATCTTGAAGCATATTAAGAATTATATTTTTATAGTTATCAGTGTCCATTATGACAACAGCGCTACCTTTATCGGCTTCTTTTATCACAATGTTTTTATTGTTTTGAAGATCGCTAATAATGTTCCAGTCTGTTTTCTTTAGGTTCGATTTAATTCGTGGAAGCTGAATATTTTCGTAAGGAAAATCTGTAATATATTCACAATATTTATCAAGGGTAAGGTTTACACCTTTAGAAGGTGTATAGTCGCTTTTGTTTCTAACTAAAGATTCATCTTCATTGTCTTGGTAAAAAAATTCTTCAGTTAAGCGTAGTTTTCAGCAAAAATTAGAGATATCATCTTGTATTTCTGTATAGTTAGATTTTTGTGGTGTGGGAGTAAATTTCAATCCACTTGATAATATGTAAAATTTATCTGGAGAAAGTTTTTTCGTGGTTAAGGTTAAGTTTATTAATTTTGGTATTGGTTGGTCTGGGGGTTCCATCTCGTGTCTTGATATCGTTGGCCCAGATCTAAATAAACTGCTTCGCTGAGCGCAGCTGGGTACGCCCGCAGAGGTTCAACCCTGAACAGTTGGGGCAAAAATGAACACAATATTCAAGCTTGATACAGGTCTGAATTTGGATTGTAATTAAATACTTGACATATTAAAGGTTTCTGAATAAATGTAGTCAAAGAACTAGAAATTGGTTATATGAATTGAATTTATATTCAATTAAAGATTTCTTCTTGTTGTGCAATACACTGTGCTGTTGCTCAATACTTAGTAAATCTGTTGTCAGACTATAAACAAATAAAGTTCAATAACTTCTCAATGTTATATCAGAAATTTATAAAAAACTAAAGGGAGGTCATCTTCATAGATATAAATCAGTCATCAAAGTTTAATGAAAACTGCTCTAAGCACTTTAAGGATATTATCCAAAAAACTTGAAAATCACCCCTTTTTTATGAATAAAATCTTATAACTCGGAAACTTATAATCTAAAATTTATAAAAATCAAAAGGGAGCTTACAACAATATATATAAACAATTTACCAAAATTTCATTAAAAATGCTGAAAGCATTTTTGAGTTCTTGTCCGAAAACTGGAAAATCCCCTTTTTGTAATGAATAAAACCCCATAAATGGTAAACTTATAGTCTAAAATTTATAAAAATCAAAAGGGAGCTCATGTTGATAGAAATAAACAATTCACCAAAGTTTCTTGCAAATTGGTGAAATTGTTTTTGAGTTATTGTCCGAAAACTGGAAAATCCCCCCTTTTTTAATGAATAAAACCCCAAAACTCGGAAACGGTAAATTCGAAATTTATAAAAAACGAAAGGGGGCTCACGTCAATAGATATAAACAATTCACCAAAGTTTCATGCATATTGGTTAAAGTGTTTTTGACTTAATGTCCGAAAACTGGAAAATCCAATCCCCCTTTTTTAATTGAAAAAAAACCCAATACTAGGAAACTGAAAATCTAAAATTTATAAAAAATGAAAGGGAGCTCAGGTCAATAGATATAAACATTTCATTAAAGTTTCATGCGAATTGTTTAAAGCGTTTTTGAGTTATTATCCGACATGTTGAAGACGGACGGACGGACAGACGGACGGACGGACGGACAGACGGACGGACAGACGGACAACGGTATACCATAATACGTCCCGTAAACGGGCGTATAAAAACGCGTTCTTTTTCTCCTGATCATAAGGTTGATAATTATTATTGTTAAATCTGTTGTTTCGATCGTTTGTTCTATATTCTGGTTCTTTTTTTCTGTTTTGAGTTTGTCCAAAATAGTTATTCTTGGAGTTATTATTTCTCCTTGGTTCAAAGTTATATCTTTGTAGTCGGTAATCATTTTTCGCACCTCTGTTTCTATTCCTTTCTCGTGATTGAGAATTATTTCTTCTATATGCATTAGTGTTGGTTCCTCGATTAGGTCTTGGTGTGGATTGACCTTGATCTCTAGTATTTTTAGATTCTGGTAGGTCTTGTCCAACGACTTGGGCATATGGTTTTGGATACCGTGTTTTCTTTAGAAACGGATTTTCTGAAGAGTATTCCTTGAGAAATTGGATTTCATTTATTAAACCAAACATTACTCTTTTCCCATCGTTGCAGGGAGTTTAATTTTTCTGTCTGACATTCATCTTTCCACAATTTACAGATTTGTTCTAGAAGATTTCCGTCTGCTTTTTTGGCAAATTCTTCAAACATTAAGTCATCAATGTCTTGATAACATTTTTCATTTGACCCGGCTCGAAATTGTAAAAGTTCCAAATATATACAAGTCTAAATTGAAAACAACGTTCAAACCTATGATTGTGTTGGATAAAAACCGCAATTTTTTACGTGTGCATGCAAAGAAATTTCTTGGTAGAGGGGTCTAAATACAGCACAAACAACATTTTCCAAAAGACCAAAAACGTGAAAAAGTATATTTTGCCAAAACGCATTTGACTAGCAGGCCGAACAACGGATGTTCTTAAACACTGATGACTGCCATGGCGATTGCCAAATAAACGGATCACCAGATGTAACAAAATGGATCTTAAATATTAATTTAATACCAAACAGAAAACAATAAACTTGCGGAAAAGATGGTTTACCGCAAACATGAGGTGCAAAAATTGGTACACCATATCCGGATTTCGACAATTAATGTCTCTTCAGTGATGTTAGGAATCGAAACGGTATTTGGAAGGCCATATAATTTACCTCAATTTAGGATAGACTCTTGAATTTTGATATTAATTTAATACCAAACAGAAAACAATAAATATATATATATATATATATATATATATAAGTCTAGAGATTTGCACAACGATACTAATATAGGATGGTATTATACGAAGATGTTGTTAATAAATCGTGTTGACAAATATTTCGGCTTAACAAATAGCCTTCTTCGGTGTCAATTATTTTAACAAGTATCAACACGATTTATTAACAACATCTTCGTATAATACCATCTTATATTAGTATCGTTGTGCAAATCTCTAGACTTATATAATTTTTTTCCTTATCTGCACAGTATCGTCTATTCTAGACGATCCGGTACATAGTAAATTTGCTGGTTGGTCCTTTTTATAGACTTCTATATATATATATATATTACTCTTTAATATCAGCCCATTGCAATATATAACATACATTTTAAGTAAAACTTTTACTTTCCAATGTTGTCTAACATATTTTGACATTCTACCTTTTGGTCATGGAGTTGTTTGCCCTTTTTCGTTTTTGAAGTTAATCGACTATAAGTATGAACTTTAGAGTAGATTTTATGCAGTGACGTCATAAACAGTACTAAAAAAAGTGCTAAAAAAAGTGATTTTGTGCATTGTCTAAAGGAAAGTATAAAATTTCAATACAAAAAATTAATAATAACGATGCGAACTTATATTAATTACACCAAACGACAAGACGCAACAACAGTTACCCTAATTTCTTCGACTTAAAGCACACTGTACTATATTTGGATACATTTGGTGCATTACCGAAATCTTAACGCTTTGGTTTTGGTTTTATTTTCATATTTTCCCCCCTCGATTTCGAAAAAAAGAATCGCATATCGATTTATAAAGCAAGGTATGGTAATATCTCTGTAACATGATATCCTCCCAAATATGCATGTACTATCTGCTGCTGGACGATAGAAGCATTCAATCAATCAATCAATCGACCTGAACTGTCATAACGACGCTGTATTCGTTGTGATTTTGATCTTCACTTAGTCGAGTCAGGTCAATATAGCGCAAAGTTTTCGCCCCCCCCCCCCCTTTTGCCTCATTTCCTTTAAGAGTGCGCTACGGCCGCGCGAGTGGCGTATCCATCTCTGTGTTCGGATTAACTTTAACTCCGACACGAGGGTCCACATAAAAGAAAACAAATTCTAGGATTACAAGGTCGAGGTTTTATATTATTTTCATGACCCCTGTTTAGATACTTATGACATAACATAGTAACCCTCTCCAGGGAAAATATACATGATTTAAAGAAGAAAAAAGGTCCTAATAGAGCTTGGACAAAATTTAATCTAAACTAATATTGCCATTCTAGTGTCTAAAAACTATGCTCTTTAATAATCGCATAATCTTAAGATAAATGAATGTGACGGAGACTCCAAATAATCTACCATAATCGCCGAATACAATACAGTTTTATATGTAATTCAGTTTTGATTGGATATCACATCTGCCGTCAATTACAAGGTTGACCGTCGGATACAATGACAACAACCATTTCGCAATCACAGTCTTCCGTTCTGGGACATTTGAAATGTTTTATTTTGTACAGTTTACGAGTATTGCATTAGAAAATGAATACCAATGCTGTATTTGAAGAGTTGAGGCGTTAATTGTCGAAATCCGCGTTTGGTTCAGTAAAATTGATACCGTTAATGTTATTGACACCGTCAAATCTCTATCTCTATTTGACGGTCATAAATATACGCTTCGCATCGCCAGTAAAACTTCATTTTCGACCGTCTCAAATCTTCGGTCATAGTTCCGATGTCAACATTTTAAATGCAGTTCTAAACTGTAACACCTTATTGTCAATTAATTTTCATTCTATCACGAAGTATGTCACTATCTATAAGTAGAATCATATCATCTATTTATATTTATATCATAATTATATGCAAGAATTACCAGCAAAGGAAATAGAAAACAATTACATGTACCTGTACCCTCATCTTCGTCGGTACCAGAGGGCGTCGACTGTTCCTGAATAAGATCCATTCTATTTTACAGGTTAAAACAGCTCGTATAAACACTGTTATTGTTGTAAAGTATTCAGGAAGGAAGTACAACGTACAAGTCTTTTCACTTTATTAAACTAAGTTATTTACAACATACCTACTGAGGGATAAAGTCAAGACAAATAGTTATTGGTTAAATATCGAGTTAAAATGCATTCACCCAAGGTATCAAGGATGCAAAGGTAGATACTATCTTGCTTTCAGTAAAAGTATGTTCTTTTTCCAGCAACAAAATTACAGTTGGGTCTTTTTCACAACATATCTTTCAATACACACTACAAATTACATTAACAAAGGAAAAGGATGAAATACATCCCTTGACGGGGATGACACGCTATTGGGATGTGGGATAAAGGGGGTCAAATAAAATGGGGATATGGGATAGAAGGGGTAAAAAAAGTGTGATTTAGGTGAAAGAATTTCTGAACATTAATTATTAAAATAGCGGGATTTGGCAAATAAACACCCCGTGTCACCCCTCTGCATTGAACAATGAGTGTGTGTGTGTGTGTGTGTGTGTGTTTCTGTTTGTGAGCGTGTTTATACGAAGGTGCTAGGTTATTTACAAATCGTAATGCCAGAAAAATACGACCAATGTATGAGAATGAAAAGGAAGATATATAACTGTATTTCAAATAGTTTTTAACTAAACTAGGGTGGCAGATCATTATAAATAGTCTGTCAAATGGATTTGAAAATTATCATTCCATTCATATCAGATGAGAAGAAAAAAGGGCACAATTGCTTGAAATGGAAAGGCATCGCTGCTCTTTCAAATTGCCGTTCGGAATTTTATTGTAAGAATGTTTTTAGGTATTCAGTTTGGATTTAAGTACGTAAAATATATTTATGAAAAGTAATTTATATATATGTGGCTTTCCTACTCATGGCTATCTCTCGAAGGTCAATCTCGAAAAACAACACTATTATGTTTCTTTAATTTTTCTACATAAATATATTTGGGTATTGCCCAAATTCGTGTAATTGTGCACTAGTTATGATGTTGTTATGTGAAATTTGCTATACAGTGCAGCTGCCGATGGAGTAAAGAAAGGCATGATTTCATATCAGCAGATAGTACTTTGAGTTTGATGTCAGTAACTGTTAGCATTCTTTGAATTGGTATTGTTTGTAATAGATTTGTGTGTATGTTTTTTCTATTTTTATTTTACCGTTATTTAGAAAATTATGCGCTTTCTCCTAACCAAATTTTATTGTGCGTCTTTTTATCTACAAATTCACTTTTGTTATTTCGAGATTGAAAGAGACCGGGTTGCGATCTCAACCATTTGTTATTCCCGTCACGTATTCATGTGCACAAATATGTGTATTCAATTCCTGGAACCTCTGCAGTTTTTTTTTGTGGTACCTTCTTTTTGGTATTTTGGGAAGTTGGTGTTGATTGCATTTCTTAGATAGTCTCTCTTATTTTTGGTATTTTGGAAAGTTGGTGTTGATTGAAGATCTTGGATAGTCTCTCTTATTTCTGGTATTTTGGAAAGTTGGTCTTGATTGTAGATCTTGGATAGTCTCTCTTATTTTTGGTATTTTGGAAAGTTGGTGTTGATTGTAGATCGTGGATAGTCTCTCTTCTTTTGGGTATTTTGGAAAGTTGGTGTTGATTGTAGATCTTGGATAGTCTCTCTTATTTTTGGTATTTTGGAAAGTTGGTGTTGATTGTAGATCGTGGATAGTCTCTCTTCTTTTTGGTATTTTGGAAAGTTGGTGTTGATTGTAGATCGTGGATAGTCTCTCTTCTTTTTGGTATTTTGGAAAGTTGGTGTTGATTGTAGATCTTGGATAGTCTCTCTTATTTTTGGTATTTTGGAAAGTTGGTGTTGATTGTAGATCGTGGATAGTCTCTCTTCTTTTTGGTATTTTGGAAAGTTGGTGTTGATTGTAGATCTTTGATAGTCTCTGTTTAATTTATCATCAACATTCATAACATGACTTACTGTATTATGTCTAAATTCTAATGTTAAACCACTAGATATTTCGTCGTTGGAGTTCTGTCTCACTAACGCATAACACAAATCTCGTTTGTGCTATAAAAAAGAATAGCAAAAATACCGACCTTCAAGGTATTTCAATAAGGGGAAGTCCCTAAAGACTGAAAAATCAAACATTATCAACCACATAAAGAGTGAAAAACAACTGTTATATTCCTGACTAGGTTCAGTAATTTCCCGAAGAAAATGGTGGGTTCAACCTGGATTTATAATTAGCTTAACCTCCCAGTTATATGCCAGTTGTTTATAGTTCTGTTATATTGGTAAAGTTGGGTGAGCAACCCAAACAGACATAATAGGTTATTGTGACAATAACTGGGACCAAGCAGTCAAAGTTGTGTAAACCGACATACAACACAACAGACTAAAAGCATAAATCTTTATAAACTGGATTCTGAATCTATAACCATATAACTCGGTTACAACAATCTGTATTATATTGATACCAGTGTCTATCCACATCAGCTGATACGAACTTTTGAAATTTTCAATCACGGACCGGATGTTACAATAATTAAACAGTTATATCTTAAGCATACGGAAGTGGAGAGTTTCTATCGCATTCTTTCGATTCGAAGAGTTGTCCTGGTTCATTAGGATCCAGTTCTGTGTTGGACTTCAAATCTTTAAACATGTCTATGTAGCCATCGAAACTTCCCAGTTTGCCCTGTTTATCCTACAATTAAAACAAAATTTATTCGATGGAAAGCTGCATGGTTATCAATAAGGAAACACAACAGGATGAGGATTCAAGCTATCGTACTTTAAACTTTAACTTATGGTTGTCAATGTTATTATAAAGAAAAATAATATCACCCATGAAATATTGTTCGTTGAACAAAATTTTATATAAAATAGTGTCCTTGTCCATGAAATTTTGTCACCTCCTTCGGGACAATATTTCACAATGAAGTACTGACAATGACAATATTTCACTATTAAATTCTGTCCATGACAATTTTTCACTATGAAATACTGTCCATGAAAATATTTCTTAATCCAAGTATGTTTTACCCGAGGAATCCTTTTCATGAAAAGTATGTGTATATAACCATAAATCGCTGCATACATTAAGTATGCTGATTCGTTTGTAATGAACTAATTATCAATAAAATAAAACGCTTTAATGATATCCAAAATAGTCAATTTTTATAACATCTTTTTCATGAGACAAAATTTCATGACCATCCATCTATGAAATATTGTCTCAATATACACAATATATAACCTTGGATAACCTCCCTTTAACAAGACAAAATTTCATACTATTCATCTGTGAAATATTGTCTGTAAATGGACAACATTTACATGGAAATTTGTCCTCTGGACATTATTTCATAGATAGCGACAAAATTTCATGATACTCATGACACTATTTCATAGAACATTTTGCTTTACAAATACCTTTAATATAAAATGTAAACGTTATATATTCATTAAGCAAATATAAAGAAATCGTGATTGAAGATAACGGACATTTTCACCATCTTCTCTTTACTTACAAACTTATTTATTTAATTCTGACTGTCTATCATGTCTATGTGATCACTAATATACAACCGTTTGTCAACTTACAATTCTGAAAGCATTCTCTACGTGCTTACTAATATACAGCCGTTTGTCAACTTACAATTCTGAAAGCATTCTCTACGTGCTTACTAATATACAGCCGTTTGTCAACTTACAATTCAGAAAGCATTCTCTACGTGCTTACTTATATATCAAAACTCCTCAAAGATACAAGCTTTATAATTTGGTACGCCGGACGCGCGTTTAGTATACATTAAACGAATCAGTGGCTTTCGAATACAAACAGTTATAGATGAAATCATTAACGAAGATACAGAGAATTGTCGCATATATGTAGTCTCTTAAACTATTTACTATTATGACAACCACTTTCATTGTGAGTACCAAGTGCACAATGTACAACATCTGAACATATTTAACATTCTGATAGTCACGTGTATAATATATAGTTTCTTAAACATATTTACCATTCTGACAACCAAGTGCACAATATATAGTATCTGAACAGTTACAACTCTTTACCGTCAAGTCCAAATAATACGTTTTGTGAACATTTTCACATTCAGACAGCCAATAGATATAAGAAGATGTGGTATGAGTGCCAATGAGACAACTCTCCATCCAAGTCAAAATTTATAAAAGTAAACCATTATAGGTCACAGTACGGTCTTCAACACGGAGCCTTGGCTCACACCGAACAGTAAGCTATAAAGGGCCCCAAAAAATTACTAGTGTAAAACCATTCAAACGGGAAAACCAACGGTCTAATCTATATAAAAAACGAGCGTCCACAATATCCAAATTCTGAACATATTTACCATTCTAACAAACAAGTGCACAATATATAGTATCTGACCAGTTACAACTCTTTACCGTCAAGTCCAAAGTATACATTATTTGAAAATTTTCACACTCAGACAGCCATGTCCACAATATCCAAATTCTGAACATATTTACCATTCTGACAACTAAGTGCACATTATATAGTCTCTGAACAGTTACAACTCTTTACCGTCAAGTCTAAAGTATACATTATGTGAACATTTTCACATTCAGACAGCAATGTCCACTATATCCAAATCCTGAACATAATTACCATTCTGACAACCAAGTGCACAATATATAGTCTCTAAACAGTACAACTCTTGACCGTCAAGTCTAAAGTATACATTTTGTGAACATTTTCACATTCAGACAGCCAAGTCCACAATATTCAAATTCTGAACATATTTACCATTCTGACAACCAAGTGCGCAATATATAGTCTCTGAACAGTTAAAACTCCTGACCGTCAAGTCTAAGGTATACATTATGTGAACATTTTCACATTCAGACAGCCAAGTCCACAATATCCAAATTCTGAAGATATTTACCATTCTGACAGCCTAGTACACAATATCCAGATTATGAACGTAATAACCATACTGACAGCTAAACTACAATTTACAAACTCTGCCATAATAACCATTCTGACAGTCAAAACCACAATTTACAAACTCTGCCATAATAACCATTCTGACAGCCAAATCCACAATTTACAAACTCTGCCATAATAACCATTCTGACAGCCAAATCCACAATTTACAAACTCTGTCATTATTACCATTTTACAGCCAAGTGCACAGTATATAGTCTCTGAACAGTAACAAGTCTTGACCGTGAAGTCTAAAAGAATACTTTATGTGAACATTTTCACATTCACAATGTCCAGATTAGGAACGTAATAACCATACTGACAGCTAAAACCACAATTAGCAAACTCTGCCATTATAACCATTCTGACAGCCAAATCCACAGTTTACAAACTCTGTCATAACTACCATCCTAACAGCCAAATCCCCAAGTTACAAACTCTGTTATTATTACCATTCTGATAGTCATGTCTACAGTTTACAGTCTCTGAACATTTTACTATTCAGACAGGCAATCCCACAATATCGGAATTCTAAAAATAATTTCAATTCTGAAAACCAAATCCACAATTGGAATAGGATTCCAGTCCACTACCCACGAATGAAGTCCCTTTACAAATCTACCATATTTTGAATGGGATATTATACCGAGATGAAAATTATGTAAAGATGCTTAAATTTGTAGTATATTCAAAGGTATTCATTAAACTTTTAACTTCTGTTAAGTTTTAAGAGATTCTGAAATGTATTGGGTGGGTATAATTGTCTGGAGTAAATAAACAAAATTTTATTTGAACCAGGAAGTGAATAAAATGACCCTATTAATACTCAAAACAGAATTGCTTTCCTAATACACCTTATCGTTATTTAATCCAATCCGGGAAAAACAGTTATTTAGACAACCTCCTGTACAGGTCAAGTAGAGCAAAACAAAGACCATCAGCAATGAGCTGAGGGAGGAAGAAGTCTGGAAAGTGGACATTTTAAAATTTTGATAGCTTACGAAGCAATTTTTAAAAGACAAATTAAAGTCATTGAAAATGCTTTGTTTGATGTGTTTACGATGATTTAAACACGTCTCTATGAAAAGTTTTATGCACAATATATCGTTTGAACCAGGGCCTCAGGTTTGAAAAGGTGTGTAATTTTAGAACTTATCCGGATAGCAATTAATAGCGATAAGGTGTGTTGCCGGTCATGACCCACCAAGAATTCTCCATGAAACCATGAAGTATAAGAAAGTAATTGAAATTTGGCTGTCAAATATAAGGAATAAAATTTGCCATTCAATTATGATAAAATTGCATTGACGTAATGGGGGAAGTAATTCAGTCCGCGTTCCAATTTACAAACTCTGACATGGCGAATTGACCTTGACCCCCACCTTGGTCATAATACTGATCATTCTGACAGCCTCGTCTTCATAACCATAAAAACACAGTATCAGATTATACTTACAATCCGGACAGCCAAGTCTACATGACCACCAATATATAATTTCTGATCAGTTACATCCATTTTGTCAATGGTACCATCAAATACAAACTTGTCGCCATTAACAATGATACCAGTTTGCTCGACCGTAACGGGGTTACTATCAGAGAAAGCGCCTGGCATTTGTCCTTCTTTATTTCTAAAGAATTCAACCTTAAACATCACAAAAAATACTTTAAAAATTTTACAATGCCAAGTTCGATGATTCTGAATGAAAGTGCGTTAAGTACAAAAACGATAACCAGAATTCGAATTCGGTTATTATTTTACCAAAAAATTAGAGATGATTCACTCTCGTTACTGTTCATATAAAAAACGAGACTGCCGTCATCCCATTGTTGACTTCCCGTATTTATAAACAACCTACCAGCGGGCCATGCACATAAGGTGATTGTGTAGAGTTCATACGATATCCCAAGCTTGTGTTTCTATTCTGTATTTTTGTTTGATAGATGCTTACAAAGAGGCTATACAACCAAGTGGTTCTTTTTTGTAAAATTGAAGTTATTTTTCGAAAGTCACAACATCATGTTTCATAAAGTCTGTGTTACATATGTCAGAGGATGCGTTTCATTTATTACACTATCTCGCCACTTTTTTCCCCTCGTTTATAACTTGTCAAAGAATATGCCGTGTTTTCGGATATTTACTGTTCATGAGGAACACGACAAGCTCCATTAGTGGTGCAGAAAAAACCTACCATTACGAGTTTACCCTAGATTTTGTGGTGGGGTTGATGTTGATTCGTGTCGCTCAATCTTTCATTGTGGTTTTATGGTTTATAATTGTTAGCCGTTTCGTTTTTGTTTCTATTAGCCAATCTGTTGTCTGTCCCTTTCCACTGATGATTTTTTACACCGCCTTGTTATCTTCTTATTTTTCACTCTTGTATACCAGTCATATCATGAATAATAATAAATAATATATGTAAATTGTATGATTGAACACTAAACAGTTACGAGTGTCACATGTATTTTTTTTCATGTCAGTGGTATTGGTCTATCTGTACTATATACTAGTATGTGATCTTGTACACATGTAGTGTAATAGCATTTTGTTTTGTTTATCTTTGTGTATGTATAAATATATCATGTAGATATAGAAGGCCATGGGATGGATTAACTGTTTTGTTATCTGTGTTACCTTCTGAAAATAAAGAATTTATTATTATTATTATTATGTTAAGCAGGATATGCTTACCCTTCCGGAGCACCTGAAATCATCCCCGGTTTTTCATGGGGTTCGTGTTGCTCAGTCTTTAGTTTTCTATGTTGTGTTTTGTGTACTGTTGTTTGTCTTTTGGTCTTTTTGTCTTTCTGTCATGGGGTTGTCAGTTTATTTTTGATGTATGAGTTTGAATGTCCCTTCGGTATATTTCGCCTTTCATTTACGGTTAAAGTAGATCTAGCTACTTATTAATTCAATAACTGCCATTTCGATGAACAATGCGTACTTCATTACGGAAGGGGAGTTTCTAGTACACCTCTCACATTTAAAGATGTAAGAGGAACAAAGCGTTAATTAATGCACATGGAACACATATTTTCAGTAAATCTAACTTCTTCGTATGAAAAACTTTATGACTAATACAGTCTGACCCTTATGCTGCAGAGGTAGGACAATATATAGGAGGTGCTAGTAGTTAACTTTATGACTAATACAGTGTGACCCGTATGCTGCTGAGGACATAAGAGGTGGTAGTAGTTAACTTTATGACTAAAACAGTGTGACCCGTATGCTGCAGAGGTAGAACAATATATAGGAGGTGGTAGTAGTTAACTTATTGTAGGACAATATATAAGAGGTGGTAGTAGTTAACTTTATGACTACTACAGTGTGACCCTTATACTGCAGAGGTAGGACAATATATAACAGGTGGGAGTAGTTAACTTTATGACTACTACAGTGTGACCCTTATGCTGCAGAGGTAGGACAATATATAAGAGGTGGTGGTGGTTAACTTTATGACTACTACAGTGTGACCCTTATGCTGCAGAGGTAGGACAATATATAAGAGGTGGTGGTGGTTAACCGATGTTCAGAAATTCTTTTGGAATAAAAAAACAATAAAGAATCACAAACGAGACTGGATGCGTCGATATGGTGAGTGTCTCCTGCTATGCATGTATGGACCGCCATGGGAATCCAGATTAAGTACGAAGGGACACAATCGGTTAATTTTCAGAACAGACAAAATAAGACTGCGAAAACATATCTTTCGTAATTTGAGACACAGACACGTATCGTTCAATGAATTTGTAAATGTGACCGTGAAACTTGTGTAGTGTCGATTTTAGACGTTCATCATCACCTGCTGGAGGAATTTTTGCGTATGGCGTACAATCTTGTTCTAAAGTCCGCATAATGTGAACATTCGAGCGCGAAACGAAAAAATGTTACATGTTACATAAATTTGTAACAAAGACAATGTTATTCTTCCGACATATATAACAACATGGCTCTCATTCGACAAAAATGATCGTGAAAGAATAAGTAACGGTGTTCAAGTATTGCTATTGGATCGCGAAAGATCTGGTATAGGGTCGTGAAGGAAATCTTATTGACAAGACACATGCAACGTCAGTTAATAATCAAATTTAATGAATGATAATGATAAATATTAGAAAAATCAAACTGTGTGTCAGAATTAAAACTGTGTGTCAAAATGGTTGAACATTTTGATCAGTATCCGAGAAAAATCAAGGTTTAAAAGTACAACATGTTTACAAAACTACAAAAGGCAGATTGATCATCAAAATTTCAAAGAAATAAAAATGTAAACAAATTTGATTTTTTTTTCATATTTTGAATGCACAAATTACTTTTCTCTTAAACATGTTGTTCCATATTACTGTTTAGAATGGTTAGAATGTTGGAATGAGCGAATAAGGCTTTTTGATGATCGTGAAAAGGGTCGTGAAAGATCTGTTGCCGCTTATTCGTTATTGCAAAAATCCACGAAAACGGTCAAATCATTTTTTTAAACACATGATAATAAATATTTGTAATCGTTATAGAAAAAGATTGGATTTGCATGACTCATTCCGATTCACTTTTGTTTGCGGAAATGACTATGATAGATTAATGCCATTGGATCTGATTATTATTATCACATCGAGTAGTTGCCTTATTACAATATAAGTACGCCTGTCCATCCTGCATAAGTTTTATGTCGTATGAAAAGTTAAGATTGTTTAATCTGATTTCTATTAATTTTCATGCACAGTCATATCTATAAAACGAAGATCCTTGATGATTTTTGTAAAAATCGGAAAAAAAACATTGTTTAAAAAAACACACAGGAAAACAACTGTCATATTCCTGACTTAGCACAGGTATTTTCCTATGAAAATGGTTGGTTAAACCTGGTTTTCTAGCTAGCTTAACGCCCTCATGTATAACACTTGTTTAATGTTCCGTAATATTGCCAAATTGGGTGAGCAACCAAAACAGACAAGTTAACGTGGCAATAACTGGGATCCAGAAGTCGGTTTCACAATAGTACTTACGACTAAGATTGATCGTAAGTCATGAACAATTCAGTATACTTAGAATCAATCTTTATAGTCGTAAGTTTTTTTGTGAAAGCGACTCCAGCAGCCAAAACTGTGTAAACATACATAGCAGACATACAGCACAACTGAATTAAACATTCGTACATACTTACAATTAAATCAAGCAGAGATTTTTTTTGTAGTTGATAATACAGTCAGTATATATAGTAAAGCATAGTGAAATATACACTTTCCCGATAAAATACAAAATAAGTAAAATATAAATACAAGGGTATACAAAATGTTCCCATCTGCATTAGGAACGCCAAAAGCCAAAAACCTGAAAGCTGGATGCAAATATACCAAACCACGTCAAAAATCATACGACCAAATGGAACATAATAGTTCAAAGACAAATAAAGGTAAAAAAAAGTAGATAAAATTATACATAGAGCCAGCAAGTAGAATCTTTAACTCAAGACCATCCTGTATTATTTGTATCAAGTAGACCCTGAATATTTATTTATTAGGTCTTGGTTCTTTGCAATGAACTTTTTGAGAAAAAGGATAAACACGTTCTTTCACAAACCCTGGCTCATTATTTGTTTGCTCAGGCGCTGATGACGTTTTACTAATTCTGAATAGCAGCTGCAAGCACCTGAATATCGTATGAGTTGAGAAATGTATACTCCATACGCGGATGAAGTTGATAAATTGCTCCTTAGGTGAGGAAAATTTATAATTTCAAAATTGAAATCATCTCGTTTGTCATACACTCTGGTATTGAGATGACCACTGTAGTCAAATTTGGGGTATACATGTGTAGGACTCTGAACCGCGATGGTCACGCTGATGTGCGATGGTTTAACGATGAAGTGCGTTTTTGATCACGCTGAAGTACGATTGTGGCATTATGACGCTATTTTGTCGCCGAAGTGCGATGGACTACACGAACTATATTTTCAATGCTGTTCATGTCAATGAAGAAATCAATTTGTTTGTTAGAAGAAGTTTTTCGGGATTTTTAAGTTAATTAGTGGTTTCTACCCTTTAATACTATAGGAAACGGGGAGTGATTGGTGAAGATGGAAAAGTTAACCTTCTGTAGCAGATTTTTTCGAAATCTATAAAAGGTTCTTTTTTACGTACGATGGAGCGTGTCATTCTCTCAATACACACGTGTCCGCAGACGGACTCTTCGTGTTATGATATTACGGTAAACGAGGAACTCATGAGAGGAATCAAGTCAAGATAAAATGTTAACGCAGAATTATGTTCACATGCGGAAAATCAAAGAGGATGATCTCACATTTAGTTTGCAACTGTAACTAAGGACATACATATACAATAACAAATGCAAATATATCTACTAACTATTAAAAACATCTACTTCTCATAGGCCTAATACAGGTAATTGATCATCTGTAGATTTTAAACTAGCCATCATGCGTAATATAGACCATCGCACATCAGCGAACGGACCATCGCACTTCAGCGTCCCCATCGCATCTCCGAGTCATACATATGTATGTCTAACAAGAGGCTGTCAGAGAGACAGCAAACCGGATTTTCCTGCAGAGGTCGAACCCTGAACAGTTGAGCAAGTATGGACACAACATTTAAACTTAAAACAGCTCTGAATTTGGATTGTGATTGAATATTTGATACAGCATAGGTTTGTGACACAAAATAAATGTGGTCAAAGAACTGAAAAATTTGAAATTGGACATTTACCTATTATGGTCCAATATCCAAAATATATGTACATTGCTAGAATTAGCATATCAAGGAACCCCAAGAATTCAATTTTTGATGAAATACTTCTTAGTTAAACAATTTTTGTTCAAAGGGAAATAACTTTATTTCCATGAACCAATAATGTATATCTAAAATTAGATATGATTTAACTATAGTTCTCTAAAATAAGATATGATGTAATTAGATATAATGTTATATTTATTTTCAAATTATAATCTAATATAATTAATAGTTTGCAAATAAATCTGTTACTACAATTATAATTGGGTGATTGACAATTACCACATGGTGTGTTATCTTGATAAAAGGTGACAATCATTTAAAAACACTTAGTGTAATCAAACTTTATATATATAATTGATAGTTCTTAATAATTTTTCTTTCGTTTGTAACAAACTAATAAAGATCTGCAACTCATCTATGAAATTCTACAACTTTATCTACACATTGTTATGTAATGAAATATATCCTTTAATACAAATAGATTATTATCTAATGAATTTGCAAATCTGGAACAGGATCAAGTAAAAATTAAAATAAACACACACTCAGACAATTAGTTTATACAGAATATAAAAAACAAATCTACAAAATTGTTCAAACAATTCACCAAAGAAAAGAAAAAAAAATCCAAAATGTCATTTATCATTAATACAATGTCTTTTAAAAATCTTTTTAAAAACGAGTTATTTCCCTTCGTACAGAAATGGATTAATTCATCAAAAATTGAATTCTTGGGAAAGGGCTATAACTGATTAACGAGAAAAGCTAAAATCGTGAAAATTGAACTTGACCTTCATTTAGTCACATGAAACAACATATCTAAATTTGAAAAAATGTCTTCAAAGCGTTTTCATGTAAATGAACGGACACTGTTTGGCAGCCGCCCGCCCGACCGCCCGCCCGCCGTACATCACCAAATCAATAACCGATTTTTACTTCGAAAATCCGGTTAAAAATGAGGATGAGGAAGCTGTATAAGTGGTGTCTATAATCATTAGTTCAAGACTATTAATGGGACCCAATCAGAAACGTTTGTATTGTTAATGGATAGAAAATCTTCAATATACCTTTATGTGAAGTTATATGATATAGCTTCTTTGATATAAGTTAAACACTTACGAAAACAAAAACGTACACATTAAGATATTTCAAGGGGAAAACCACCAGACCCCCCCCCCCCCCCCTGCTTCACTCATTCTTGGATGCATTTAGCAATGTAAATACAAAAATATTTACTTTTCGACAATTTACGCTCCTGGAGGTCTTATTATATCCTGGATGGCTATTTATCATTTCCTCTTAAATGAAAACATGTCTAAATATGGGTCTGTATGTATTATGTGTATATATCACCAATAAAATGAAAGCATTCATTTACGTTCTTAGTAAGTAATTACACGCTTCAACCAATTACAGGTATATCAATTGGTAATAGAAATGTTGTTTTCTGATCATTCAGTCTGGTCACGCCTTGACTTTCACGATCAAAATAATGCGTTGCCTGATCTTTCACGATCAATTTTGATGATGCTGATGATGATGGATGGCTGCTTAACGTCCAGCGGCAAATTAATATGCATATTCAGGACGAGAACATGTTAATGTAATATGAATATTAACCCTGTTTTGTACTAGACCGACACGCTGAGCCGGATTTTTAACGTGCTAGTTCACAAGATGAAAGTCCGCAGGAAGACATGTCATCTTACCCGGAATCATTATTCTGACTCCGAGCCGACCAGTCTTTGCTCTTACTCCTTAATGCCGCGTGCTTAGCGGAGAAGCAGCAAATACCAATTTAAAGTCTTTGGTTTGACCCGACCGGGTTCGAACCCACGACCTCCCGCACTCGAGGCGAATACGCTACCACGAGACCACCGAGGCGATTCGATCCATTTGATTAAAAATCAACAAAAATATACTTTTCAAAAAAATATTATTTCAAGTAAAAAACCATCTGACACACTAAAGATTAAGTTTCAAGTATATCATGATATATTGGAATGTGACCATTATAGATACAGAACGGGATTTTTTTCTTAATGATTCTCATAGGATTGTGTGTCGCCTTTTGTGTTTTCTTAAACAGTACTGATTTTTTCTTTAATACTATTAAGGAAGTTGAATCATTTTGACAGACATAATACTTTCTTCTAATTTGTTTCACCTTTTGAAAATACAGCAGATTTTTCACAAATTTTGAAGTAGAATTAAACTTAATTGCATTCACGATCCGATACCAGATCTTTCACGATTCTAACACAATGATTGACCACCGTTAGTTATTCTTTCACGATAATTTTTCTCGATATACTGAATGACACCCGTGTTAACTCAAGTATACGCTAGTCATACCACCTTTTTCGGTCAGTGCTTTAATAAGGACTGTATTTTGTATGAACTTTATTATTGTTTGTACAAGATATGAACAGACAATCGTTGAATATAAAGAATTTCAATGTATTTTTGTTTAATATGAATAAAACCTATATGCGTTTTATTCTATGAATTGTTTTGCTTCAATTATTATGAAGCTTTTTGTTAAATTATGTAAAAGTATGGTTAGACAGAATCTTACTGTAATCCATGTTCCGTTATTAACTTCATAATCAGTTTTGACATGAGCTCCTCTTGAAAATCCACCACCATATATAGTTGGATTGAATATAAAGTAATGTAGGATCCCTTCATATAGGTACAACCCTTCATAATCTAAAGGTGCGTCATCGTCTCGATATTCGCTTTCAGAGTAGTACAACAAGCCATTTTCTTTAGTTGTTTTGAAAGATAACTGAAAGTTAGAACTGAAAACAGAAAAAAAAAATATCTATATATTATAGATATTTTATCGGATTTGCGTCTTTGTTAGAAAGGTTTTCGGAGGTTGCTAATTTATTTTTTTTCGTGGACGGCTAATGCAACTGAAAGAAAAGATGTCTAATCTCTCAGAAGTTTGAAAGTCGTTATTGCTGAAAGAGGATGAACACTAAATTTATCTTTGATGAGTAAATGAGTGTTCCCTGTAGATTTCTGTACATATTTTGTTATTGCTATTAACTGTTCCTCCTTTTTATTTACGGCTTTCGATTACGCATTTTATATCTTTCATTTTTGTTTTGCTTAGTGTGTGAATATGTTGCAATCACGTTGGGACAAATAGGTTTAAATCTTTCTAAAATGTCAGAGAAAGTATTACACAATTAAAGAATTTAAATGGTGTTTGAATTTATGTGTATCTTGATATTTCATTCTTTTCAAAACATAATTTTGATGTGTCTTTTGAATAATTAACGGGAAGCATTAACTGTTTAACCACGAATTCACTTATTACTGACACATCTCTTTGACTAGTCACAACACATCTGTATTATCTCTTGGACTAGTCCCAGTACATCTGTATTATCTCTTGGACTAGTTCCAGCACATCTGTATTAAAAATATCTTCCGTGCAGTGATGAAACATCTAAAGTATTCGGCAGAATATGAATAAGAGGAGATTTGTGTGACAAACATCTTTTAGACATCAATCCGAGAGTACATATCATTTATTTTGTAAAAAAAATTTCCGTACTCCAAACAACAAAATTATTATATTTAAATTTAACTGTGTACGTTACTTTATCTAACGCCATTTTGTCCCAGGTTAAAGTTATTTTTTTACATTGTTCTACATATTTTTTTTTTATTAATATTGTATTTATATTGTGTCATAGATCAAACTTATGCGTTCAGTGTATGTTTACTTGTTTTTGTTTATAGTCTTTTTGATCGAGTTAAGCCATTTCAATTGATATTTTATAGTGTGTCTTTTTATGTTGTAATGTTACACTACTTTTTCAGGTTAGGGTGAAGGTTGCCGCCTGTTAAAACGTTTATACCCGCTGCATTTGTATGCACCTGTCCTAACTCAGGAGCCTGTTGTTCAGTGGTTGTCGTGTGTTGGTGAGGTTCATAAATGTTTCTCGTTTTTTATATAGATTAGACCGTTGGTTTTCCTGTTTGAAATGTTTTACACTTGTCATTTGGGACCCTTTATAGCTTGCTGTTCGGTGTCAGCCTGGCTCCGTGTTGAAGGCCGTACTTTGACCTATAATTGTTTACTTTTTACACATTGTGACTTGGATGTAGAGTTGTCTCATTGGCACTCATACCACATCTTCTTATTTATATTTATAGTATGTGATCACAAACATTTCCTGACAGCCCCGAAAACTACCTGTTTTTCTTTTTCGTTTTTTGTACAAGATCATGTCTCCCTATACTGTATTGAAAATGATGTATGTAATTCCCTATTCAGTAACTGATATTCAGTGGGAGATGATTACTTATTAGCAGGTTAAGTACTTTGAGCTAGCTTGTAATCTATTTTGTGTTTTTGTTTTGTATTATATCATTTAAGTGCTACTTTTTGTACTGGTTTTTATTGTGTGTTGTATGTCCGTCAGTACATATCTAAATGTTTTTTTGTATTTAAAGAATTTGGTTTAAAGGGAATTTCTTAGATATTTTTTGATAATTTTTTCAAAACTTTTATAGACTCGGGACGATTTAGAAATTGAAACATTGTAAATACACCAGTCTATTGTCAAACATTGTAAATACACCTGTCTATTGTCAAACATTGTAAATACACCTGTCTATTGTCAAAGACTGTATTTTGTCCTCTAGATGTCTTTGTGATTTTTGTCGTTGGATTGCTGTTTCATTGAGTGATACCCAACATGTTCTTGTATACAATGATTATTATATTACCTTTCAGTAAAATCGATGCCGGTACTTTCATAAGCCAGATACTGATTTTGAGACTCTTCTAATTTGTAACATCTACAGTTTACTTTTACTACCAATAAACACTGAAAACATTATACAAACATTTTTAAGGAAGACTAATTACTTTATTATACATATTTACGATGGCCGAAGTAAGCCGACAAAAATACTATTTAAAACTTATAAAGTGCTCTGTACAGAAAGTTTGTACATAGTACTACAAGCTATTTTACTTCCGGGTAAAAAGAAAGCACTCTGTACAGAAAGTTTGTACATAGTACTACAAGATATTTTAATTTTATCCCACACCAGGTTCTATTCATATCTAAAACTAAAATTGACCAAAAAGATAAATCTTTAATGTGCATTTTGTGTATGAGCTAAAATTCAAGTTAAATATTTCACGTAAATGACATTTCATTAGAATTCAAATAATGCCAAAAAGGGCTGTTCGTGTTGTGTCCAGTCATATTCTAATGAAGGTAATTTCTGTGGTTTCATTCTAGGTTTGGTGACCACCGAAATAAACGACAGGTGCATAATGCGGAGCATGACCCATAGTTCATTATTGGTTTTACGCTTTGGCAGGATCTACTGTAGTAAGTAAGACATATATCACGATAAACAATACAAACGACGTGCATGTGGTTTTTTTTCTTCAAAAGTCTATGTATCATGATTTCATGTACGATGTCACTTAAGTGACTGAGCAATAATCAGAAACCAAATGTAATAAACCAATCATTTGATTGCTTTTCCCAGGCTTTTAATGTTTCAGAGAGAATCTCAATGTTGTAATACTGAGCAAAGACATCTAAATCTCTAATTTTCATTGTCTTCACAACTAATTTATCTCAGTCGATTGTACAGAAAAATCAACTTACTTGTCTTCAAATTCCGATGAAAAATGATATAATTTTTCTGTTATAAACATAATATAAAATACGAATTCTAGTGCGTAAAAGGGTAACAAGTTGATATTAAAAACGTGTTATATTTTTTTTTTGTATCTCCTGGCAATTGTAGACATGCAGCAAAATCCATTATATTATGAAGTTCCCAGGAAACATAATGTCCCGTGAGGACGGGCGTCATGCAATGCTTATAACATAATTTATGGAAAAAGGGCATATATGGGAAAGACCTACTTTGGACAGAAAATAATAGGTATACTTTACAATAATTATATATTCAAGGACTAATGGTTTGCGTTTGACTAAAGAAGTGCATTAATTCCAGAAGACATTTCATATTTTTTTATTTTAATTTCCAATGAATATTTTACGGGTAATATGTCAAAAATAAAATGTTCATATTTTTTTAATGTGTAACAATAGTGTAAACTAACTTCTTAGACTTACCAGAGCCGAAACAAGAAATATGTAAGAAAATGTGTAACAATAGTGTAAACTAACTTCTTAGACTTACCAGAACAGAAACAAGAAATATGTAAGACTCCATTTTGACGATGAAAACAGGTTGTTTACCTATATATTTAGGAATCTGCGATACATCAGTCAGTGATGATAAAGTAATTGTTTCAGCTGTTAAATCTAAAGATAAATCGGCTGTACACAAATTACGTAGTTCAATGGTATATAACTGAATAAACTTTCATCAAGGGTGTGTGGGAAGATAAGAGTGTTTTTTTCTTCAAAATTCGTTCCTAACATCACCCCGAGTTCAACCCCAGTTTTGGTTGGGGATAGTACTTCTTTTGTTTTAGTTTCCTTGTAGTGTTCTGCGATATTCTAGTTATACCCCACGCAACGAGTTGCGGAGGGTATAATGTTTTTGACCCGTCCGTCCGTCTGTCCCTCCGTCAGCCCGTCAGTCCGTCAGTCCTGTTTCTTGTCATCGCAACTCCTCTCAAACCACACAACAGAATTTCACGAAACCTTTTTAGATAATAAGGACATACTATGTTGTTGTGCATATCGACAGGAAATTACGATTCAATTCTTTTTCTAGGAGTTACGCCCCTTTGAACTTATTTACTTTAATGTACTACTGCAACAGTTTGTCATCGCAACTCCTCTCAAACCACACAACAGAATTTCATGAAACCTTTTCAGATAATAAGGACATACTACGTAGATGTACATATCGACAGGAAATTACGATTCAATTTTTTTTCAGGAGTTACGCCCCTTTGAACTTATTTTCCCAATATACTACTGCAACCTTTTGTCATCGCAACTTCTCTCAAACCACACAACAAAATTTCATGAAACCTTTTCAGATAATAAGGACATACTACGTAGATGTGCATATCGACAGGAAATTACGATTCAATTTTTTTTCCAGGAGTTACGCCCCTTTGAACTTATTTGCCCAATATACTACTGCAACCTTTTGTCATCGCAACTCCTCTCAAACCACACACCAGAATTTCATGAAACCTTTTCAGATAATAAGGACATACTATGTAGATGTGCATATTGACAGGAAATTATGATTCAATTTTTTTTTCTGATACAATTTTTTTTTCTTACACTTATTTTATTTCTCCAATGACAATGTGGGGACGTGGGGTATGTGAGCGCGCTCACTAAGGTTCTTTCATTCAAAATGTTCGTGTCCGATATGGTCTTGTCTATTCTTTGTGCTATTACATCACTGTCCCAGACTCGCTCGCAAACATGTTTAACCCCGCCACATTCTTTATGTGCTTATCGTTTGTTGCTGTATATCATTTTTGTTTGTTTATTGTTTTGTATATAAATCAGACCGTCAGTTATCTAGTGTGAATTGTTTTATATTTGCCATTTCGGGCCTCTTATGGCTTGCTATGCGGTATGGGATTTGCTCATTGTTGAGGGCCTATGGTGCCCTTAAGTTGCTAGATTTTTCGTCGTTTAGTCTCTGGTGGAGAGTTGTAGTTGTCTCATTGGCAAGCATACCACATCTTCTTATTTTTATAGTATCACCCATAATGTTGTTGGTGGGCTTCGTGTTACTCAATTTTATGGTGTTGTAAACACTTTTCGTTCAACTGCCAGCTGTAATCATCTCACCACGGTTCTTGTATATCGACTATATTTATCTTTTTCATTACCGAAGAATGCTTTGTTTGTCTTATTGACTCGTACCAATCCGACGAATCAAACCATTTTCAAAAGATTTTTAAAATGTGTTCTTATGTTGTGCTGTTACACCACTATCCCTGATAAGGGGATGATGAGAGCTCACAGACACGGTTAACCCCTATGAAGGGCCGTTCGGGTCATAATTCATTTTGTTACACGTAAGCTAGAGGTACGCGTAACAGATCGTTCACGTACCCTAGAGGTACACGTAACACTTTGTTCACGTACCCTAGAGTTACGCGTAACTGTTTGTTCGTGCAGTAATCGCAACAGAAAACATGTCATCCCTTTCCCTGAATAATGGATTATCTGTGTCAACATCATTTCATTATCCCCTCAACCTCAAGCTACTTGCAACAGAAGAATATTTGTTTTGTGTCAGGAAAAGTATAAGTATTCACCAGGAAAAAAATCCCCATGAAATGAATGCAGATATATAGAATTATAACGGAAAGAAATTAATTATATCCTTTAAGGATGTGCATTGGATAAAGGAGACAATTCTGCAAAAACTGCTTGAAATTTGGCAACAACCGACAACAAAACGAAAAAACTGTTTTCCAAATACACAATCTGTTGCCAAAATAAATATTTAATATAAATATAGGTTTAAATCAATATTTTTTTTAAACTTTAAATCAAGTAATTAAAATGTTGTAAAAAAGGCCTGATTTAATTTGGTCAATTAGTATTCTCCAGCAGACGAGTTCATTGTGCATAGGGTATAAAGTTTATTCCGCAAACAGTTACGTGTACCTCTCGGGTACGTGAACAAATAGTTACGCGTAACTCTAGGGTACGTGAACAAAGTGTTACGTGTACCTCTAGGGAACGTGAACAAAGTGTTACGTGTACCTCTAGGGTACGTGAACGACCTGTTACGCGTACCTCTAGGGTACGTGAACGACCTGTTACGCGTACCTCTAGCGTACGTGTAACAAAATGAATTATGACCCGAACGGCCCTTCATAAACCCCGCCACATTCTTTATTATGCTGTCCTAAATCAGGAGTCCAGTGGTTGTCGTAAGTTGCTGCCTGTCATATTGTTTTATTGTTTTGTACATAAATCAGGCCGTTAGCTATCATGTGTGAATTGATTTACATTTGCCATTTCGAGTCCTCTTATGGCTTTCAATGCAGTATGGGATTTGCTCATTGTTAAGGGCCTACGGTCCCTATAGTTGCTAGATTTTTTGTCATTAAGTCTCTGGTGGAGAGTTGTCTCATTGGCAAGCATGTCACATTTTCTTATTTTTATAGTATCACCCATAATGTTGTGGGTGGGCTTCGTGTTACTCAATGTTTTTGTCTTTTTCAATACCAAATAATGCTTAATGTATCTTGTTGCTTCGTGCCAATCCGACGAATCAAATCATTTCCAAATGATTTTTACAGTTTACAGTTTATTCTTATGTTGTTCTGTAACACCACTATCCTTGGTTAGGGGAGGATTGAGGGCTAATAGATATGTTTAACCCTGTCCCATTCTTTATTGGCCTATCCTAAATCAGGAGTCAAGTGGTTGTTGTTAATTGCTGTCTGAACCAATTCCAAGTGGTGAAATTGATATCATCCCTTCGAAAATTTTACGGACGCCATTACAAGTTGGTTGACCATAATGGAATAGTTTTTCATGAAGACGATGGATATATCCCAATTGTCGTAACCACAATCCCGTCCTCTTTTCCTCGAATGCAACGTATACTTAAATGCCACGTGTGGAGCAGGATCTGTTTACCTGTTCGAAGCACCTCAGATCAACCTCGATGTTTTGGTGGGGTTCGTGTTACCCAGATTTAGTTTTCTATGTGTGTTTTGTATATTGTTGTCTGTCTTTTGGTCGTTTTTCGTTTTTTTGCCATTGGATTGTGAGTTCGTTTTCGACTTATGAGTTTGATTTTCCCTTTGGTATCTTTCGTCTCTCTTTTATGTGGAAGAATATTGTAGAGAATTGAAAAGTAAATACTATCCAGCAATATTTCATTGGGGACAGTTCATCAGATGTTGAATGACAGCAAATGTTTTAAGAACTGTACTATACATGTCACGTTAAGAAATATGAACGTATAATATCGACTACAGTGCGTTGTTAAAACCATAACGTACACTGTATACCAAAAGTTAGGAAACTAAATATCTTTAACGTTAGTAAGCATCAATGTCAAATGCTGTTAAATATTAACAGCCAATAGCTTAAAAATAACACTTTAAAGATTTCATGCGGCTCGAGCACGTTTCTGGATTTATCTTCATCAGGAAAACTCAAAGCCAAACATTTTAAAGGAGTAAGGTTTACAAGAGCCTTAGTACAATTACTTAATTCGTATATTTTAATTTAAGTCAGAATCTTTATTTCAAATCATGACAATACGGAAGTATTGGCCATTGGGTAGAATGGAACATCAGAGACTGTCGGTTTAACAACATCGATGGACATTAATTGTACTTAAATTTCACTCAGTTACACTATAGTATCTGATAATAAAGAAGCATTTATTCATAAGGTATGATATTACATTATTTACATTTGATAGATGATATAGTTACAGATACGTACAAAAAGAAGATGTAGTATGATTGCCAATGAAACAACTATGAGACTCAATGACGAAATATGGAACTATGCTTTCTTTGTAACGTTAAAATATTATTTCAGGTTTCCTGTATTTGATGCATTTCTCTGCATTACAGTTTATTGTACATTAGCAACAAGATGCCACATAATGTTGTAACATTAATATCTACACATTATTGTTCTATTATTTCTTTTAGAGGACATCCTATTGATAAAATGAAGATTAGATTTGATATACTATGATGTATAACAAGATTGTGTAATTCAAATGAAATATAACAAAAAAAGATATTGTTAAATATTTGTTTTTGGATGTCAAGAATAAAATTAGGATGTCATGAACTACATGTAGATAAGAATTAATTCATATTAAATCATTTAAGCAGCTCTATTTAAGTTCTCTTGTTTAAAAGTATGAACAAAACTGTTAATTATATCTTTTGAAAAAACCCTTAAACTAAGTAATGTATAAAAACAATTTTCCGACTTCGCTATTCGGTTTTCATAACAAACATCCAAACAATCATTTCTGTTGCTCTAGCTCAGGTTTACCAAGTCACGAGACAAGCAGACGTGTAAAAGCGATAGAAATAACACTGCGCATTTTTAAAAAAATTTTCAAGCAAAATTATCGAAGGGAAAATAAAAAGTGTTGATAAAGTAAAAACACAATTTTGTTGAAAATATTACACTTTCTAAGCATATTGAATGGCAAACAATCATATTATCAAAAAGTTTGTCATACTTTAGTATAACTTATATATTGTAATGGTATACTATAATTGTTATAAACAGATGATAAGCTATCAAATACGAGATAGTGTATCAAATATAATCAGATATTTGCATCATACATTGTAAGATATTGCTCCAATATAAATCTGTACATATATCAAGACATGACGAAAGACAATCTCTTGCGATGTTCTGGACTGAGGGCAGGTTGATGGATAAGTGACGGGGTAAAAAAGTTTTTAAGTAATTCAATAACCCCCCCCTTTTTAATTCCCATGAGATGATTAAAAAAGGTACATAATAGAACATACATTATACATTTATACAGTTTTGCAAGATAAAATTTTACAGACTATAAATGTTTGGTTATATTGATTACATTCAAGAGACGGAGGAAATAATCTTCTGAATAATAATCTGTTCATTGTCAATCCTTTTTCAAGTATTATATCATTCTTAGGATGTCATGTATATGTCATCGCCTTCTCCTTCGTGAAATAGAGGTCGCAGTTGTTCCTTGATTCTCGAGAAACCAGACCTTTGATTTGGATCATACTTCCAACATTTCTTCATAATGTTGTAAAATCTTGAAATAAATCAATACACAAATAATTAATGAAACAAAGATTTAACATGGCCTAGGTCGTAAACATATGGGTGTAGTTGTATTATGATATGATCAAACGATTTATATTGCGGATTAAGGTATCAATTTCAAAGCTGAGTATTTTTATACTGTGATGATTTCAAATCAAAATACGATAAGCTTTCAGGACAAAGGACTTTGAAAAATACAAACAACTCAGAAATTGAAAAAATAAAACATAACAACACACAATAAGTCGTAAGTAATTTTGCACCTTGTCAAACCACCTGTCTTAATTATAAATAGGATTGTACCTCATTTTTTCCATAATGCCCCATAATTATTACATCACTAGCTGCTTATGGAATTATATTACTCAGTTGATACGACTTTCAAGAGCTTGTCTTTATATGGATTTTTGCATCAAATTATTAATAACTTCGTTATGTTGAAATTTTGCATTACTAGGAAGTAACCCTCGAAAGTTTTGTGTTCGGCATCATGACGGATGCAATTTGTTGAGCTAATCTCTGTATTAGTTTACAACACACGAAAAACTCTCTCATTTAACTACACAAGTTTTAGCTTTCGAAGCAATAATCAGAAAACGTAACATAATGACAAACAAGTTAAATTATTTCAAGTACACTCTGTTAAGGCTTAAATGAGCTCTATTGAAGAGTTTATTCGACACAACTAACATAATTAGTTGTATGACGAATTTTACCAACACTTGAAATAAGTTCAACCGTAAAAATAAGCAGTGGTATTAAAAAAAAACCACATGAAATTAAACATAAACTGATTACATAAAACTAAGAAAATATTTGTCTGAAAAAGTCTATATTCTCAATATATAAAATCTGTTATTTACAACTTACATAACCTCACAATACTCTGGTCGGTTCATCCTGTTTCCTGCTTTCAGGTACTGGAAAACTTCGCTGCTCATCATTGACGGGTAAGGAGTTTCACCTAGTCGACAAATATAAGTGATGGTTATTCATTGTATTGATACATAATATTCCCGTTAGAAAGCAATGTTCAAATCAACTTTAACCATATGAAAGCAACATTGTAGGGGATATGTGATGGATAAGCGTAAGGCCATGAAAGTATGTCCGCCTTTTCCGCTGTTTTGTTTTTATGTAGACTTTGCTTTTGTCATTGATCAAAATTAGAGATAGCAAACTAGACCAAAATTAGGAAAGTAACATGATGATCCATAAATAAATGATGTAAACATTCAACCCTCTTTCTATTTTAACAAGAACACTTAGAACTGGCGAAATAGATTTTTGTTTTACGTAATTGTTTTGCAAAACATCTTCTACTGAGAGTCAAGTAATTAATATTTTTCAGTCAAAATTAATTCAAAAATAAATATTTGGATCCGAGTAAATTGTTAAAAGAACAGAAATGCGCAACAGTTTGTTTGCAGGTTAAAAAAAAAGAAAAAGAAAGACAATAGTCACTCATTCTTAAAAGTAACTATTAAAATACGCACAAATCAAAAGAGGACCCAAGTTATACTTTCAATGAGGTAGGTCTACTTTTCCAAGAATAAATTTCAGACCAAGATCATTTTCTAAAACTTCTTTAACCTTTTCTAAAATCACAGTATCATAGGCCATTGACTTACAGCTTCCATGCCTGCCTATGTTTATTATGGAAGATTAAGATGTGTGCTTCGATTGGCCCATTGGTTAAAGAAGGAGAAGAATGTAGAAAACAATACGAGGACCGACGGATGAAAAAACGATGGGTGCCAAGTGGATGCTAAAGGTCCAACTGACCGTTCTAAAACATTTAAAGACTCAACATGATGGTACAGGCTGATATCTGAAATTAAACAAAAGAAAAGGAACTCTTTATTAGAGAAGGTAAAAATTACCAATAGATATAGGAAGATGTGGTATGAGTGCCAATGAGACAACTCTCCATCCAAGTAAAAATTACCAAGTTGGTATATTTGAATTGTTTACATCGGTTTCTATGGCTTTATAAGTTTAACGTAGATGCACAATTTAGGATTTTTTGCATCTCATATACGTGTTTATACTTAAATATTGAGCTTTGAGATATCTGTAACCTTTTAAATTCAAAAGACACATTTTCACAAAAGAATCGATTGTGGTAGGTGCAAATACATGTGGATCTTGTTTCAGTCATTTTTCAATTAAACGTTAGGCGTAATAATTATTTTATTTACGAAATACACTAAAAAAAGATTTCCTATTTTTGTGTGTGTTATCTATGGTAATTAGTTTTCAACCTCTGAAAATTTATAGTCTGCCCTTCCACGGAATACGTAAGTAGAATTTACTAGTGTTTTTTTTTCTTTTTGAAAATTCCATTTGACAATGAATCAAACAATAGTTATATTAAGTTGACATAAGGCCTAAAATGATGATTAATAGCAAGAAGATACATTTGTCTTTTAAAATACAACTGTCATGCAAGGATCGTAATGATGCTATGTGGATAGGTTTTCAAGAGCTAAATTAAAAGCGCGTCATCCAAACAATGACTTCAATTTTCACAATTGAAAAAAATAGGGGGGTGGGGGTTAATGGGGAGATAATCCCAGAATCCTGACTGGGTAATAATCAACAATGAAGCTTGCATGTAGTTCAGCTTAAACATTTAGAAACAATTATTTCCATTATTTCAACTTTCCGTTCATTTTTTATTTGTGATAATACGCATATACGTCTTGTTGTAGTTGAATTATAACATACCTAACGAAAAAATCTCCCATAATACAACTCCATACGACCAGGCATCACTCAATTCCGTGGCTTTGTCACTTGATGTGATACATTCAGGTGCAACCCATTTTACTGGGATATTTTCCTGTTATTTAAATGTTATGATAATCTTTAACAGAAATATATGTATGTTGACGTTGAGATTTCTTTTCCTTGTTGTGTCTGAAATTTTTAGTCCCATATATGTTTATCCCACGACCTCATTTATATGCATTTTGTACTGTTTGCAATTTAACACACATATATCGGTAATAGTCTTCTCATGTCTGAGAGGTGTACGCCACGAAAATATGAGATGACTGTATATAACTTACATAGACGCAATGAATAATCATCTTATTTTTTTTTCTTATTCTGAAAGAGCAGTTTGTTTTGATAAGATAGAAAAAGTTATACTTTCAGATGATGTTTTATAGTTATAGATTAAGAATGAAATCTTCATTGCTTCTATTTTTCTGTCATCAAATTGACACCACATCACTACTTTTGTGTGGTAATATGAATTGCTGTTCTATATTGTCTTTTTCTTTTTTTTATTTGCAAAAACTTGAACTTTTTTGCTGATAATGAAAAAACTTCTATGTAAGTTTATATAAAATCACAGAAGTGTCATCACTTTATTATAGAAAATGAAAGTCCGTTTAAAGGAGACGTGACACAATTTTTTTTTTTTTTTTTTTTTTTAATTAATTTATTAATATTGGTCAAAAAACATATTTTAATAAATTTTTCTTGTCAAAACCTCATTAAACGGCCTTTTTATGGTCAAATAATCCAGCGCGTGTCGTAATCTTTGATTTTTAATTAGATACCGGTCACGTGATCGTGATGACGTCAGTGGATACAAGCTGAGAAAATGTCTCAATATGGACGAAGTCGATCACATTTCTGCATAATTAAACAATGGACGGTGTTGACAGCAGTTTTCAAGACAACTCTCAAACTTTAGATATTCGACCATATCAGTTTGAGCCGTTACTTGTTGAAAATAATCAAGCAGAAGATATAAATTCGTCATCCGAAGAGTCCGACATTGACGATCTTTCAAGCAATATGCAAGCTGTAGGATCTGCAAAGAATAAATGTTTGTTGTTAATTTAGTTTTACAGAACTTTAATTACTGTGATAATTAATTAAGACATATAAATACAAGTGAACGTCTTAGGTCACACAATGGTCAATTGCATTTCTGAATAATTATGCGGTCTTAAATTACAATTATAATGAAATCAAAAACATAGAGAAATATACCTAACTTCTTAACTCCATTTTATTTGAGCTTTCATGGATAGTTGTCTGATTAGCAATCAAATTTACCACTAATAAATTGGTTCTTAGATATTAATTTAATAATTTAAATTAGTTAGTTTGCTAAATGTAGCGTTCAAGTTCAAAAGTTTATTATAGTTTATTATAGTCGCACCACATACATACACGTATAAACACAATATGAAATATAATGCACATTTTAAAATTTAGAATGCATATATAGAGATCTGTGTAGAAATATATCACTACTATAACAATTATTTCACTATAAATCAAGATATATTTCTTAAAAAAATGTTTGAGTTTAACAGGTAATTGAATTACATTATATAAGACAAAAAGAGAGGTAATAAATTACCTATCACCTAACCAAGTATGTTGGGTGTGAAATTTGAATTACTGAAGCAGTCCCCAATACATGTGTAATAAGTATGACATAACAGGGGAAGTATTAAAAGCAAAGTTTTGAAACAGTAAAATATATTCATGTATTTGTCTCCTCCATAATCATCCCATTTAAAATGTTCTAGGAGTACTGATTTTTTGTTGTTGTGATATTTGTTATAATGTGTATATCTTCATGCAGTCTATACTTATACATTATCTACTAATCCCAGGTCTGTATCAATTGGATTTATTTCCATTATTTAAGTTAAAACTATATTATTCAGCTTCATGTCTTAGGCAATATAAAGGCTTGCATACATACACTAGCCAAAATATTTGTTTTTCATTCAAGTCACCTTTTGCATATTTCACCTCAATAACCTTGCATCAATGGTCTATCATTTTGATAGTATGACTTGGCATCTCTTCACAATTTTTTTTATAAAGAAATGAAATGATTTTCCATAAATAAACAAAATAATAAGGGTAAATAATAAAAACTTAATTGCAATACACCTTTTATACATGCCTAATTTTTTTTTTAGAATCTATGTACCTACTGCAGGTTATGTTTTAGTTAGGGAGACTGACAGGCATTTACATTTTTAATTTTCCAGCTTTTTTTTTAATTCTTTTCTTACTTTAAAAACATTTCTTCTTTATTGTCTATTCATTTTGCTTATTATACTCCATTCTTTACAAAGTAAATCCAGCAACCCATTATTTCCTATCCCCCCTTTTTAAGCTGCACTATCAGTCCTTTTTTCTCTATTCTGTAAAACCCCATAACCGACAGTCGGGTATTGTTTATTCCAACAGGTAAAACAGATATGCATTACGTAACTTATGTCTGTAACATTTGCTCTAGTCTATTTTCCAACCTCACCTGTGCACCCAGCAGGTGATCAAGGATCATGTACACAGATTCGACGCATATTACGCAATATTGCGTATTACCTATGTCCTATCTATCATCACCTGGGGGCATGACACCTGTAGCTTTCAACTTCAAAAGGTAACCCAGCATTGCGGATAAAGTGTGCCGCATACCTGTAACTTCTGATCGATGTTTATGGATGTATGTCCAATTTCAGTGTACACACCTGCACACGTGAACAGGTAGTGAGGTACACTAAGGAGGTACACGATACCAAATTTTAAACACTGAGATATATTGGGCTATACACAAATATGACGAAACTATAAAAAATAATATTAAAAAGGGACGCAAAAAAATATTTGCGAAGATAAAATAAAAAATATTTACGTCAGCCTTTCTCCGCTTCTCATAAGCTCCCCGCTTAGGTATAGGTGGCCTTGGCTCAGCTGTTGTTGGTTGTGTCAATGGAATGTCAGGTACCGCATTTGGACGGAGTTTTGGCTTCATGGTAGGACAGCCCTCGAGATTCTTCATAACTTCTGGGTCACGATCGTAACATGCATTTGTAAAGTGGGCGGAACAAAGTCTATGACCAGTGCTTGGTAGGAAGTCCCATCTCTTACAATAGTGTGTCCACGCCTTCCTGGTTTGCGGGTTACTCGGAAAACGGAAAAAAAACTAATTAAACTGTCCTTCTTATGCCTATTGTTGCATCCACTGGCAGCACACAGAACCATTTTTAATCACTGTCATGGGTTTTGTTGGAAGATATTCGAAAATGAAATTGCGCTAATTATGCCTATACACCCGTCAGTCAAATATGATTGATGAAACCACTGACGTCACAGCCTCGTTCTGAGTGATTTCCGGGATTGAAATATGCATAATTAGTATGTCGACAGATCGATACATTTAAATTCATATTTATCCATTTAAACGATAATTATATTGCTTTCGATGTTTTTTGGGGGGTAATTATGTGTAAATAAATATTTATTTCAAAAAAAATAAAATAAAAAAAATCATGTCACATCTCCTTTAAGTGGTTTGTTGATGTTAGATTGGCGTTGTTGTTATGGTCACATTAAAATTATAGAAGGTTTGAATATTATTTATTCGACAAAAACTCTAACTCGACTGATTTATACATATTTGTTCATTTAATAACACGTCCTTTTGTTTTCATGTGGTTATACTTGATTAATTTATTAGAATCAGAAATATGATGTGTTCATTTAATAAAAATGCATTCTTATACGACGGCCTTCTTTCTCTTTGTAAACAAAACTGTATTCTAATTCCTACAAAATATGCAGTACACGTGCTATGAAATGCACAAAAATCTTTTACAAAAGCAAGTCAATATTCTACACTTTATATTTATTTCTTTCATCTAAAGCATCTTTGTTTACTTTTCTTTGCTGTGGTACCTCATTACTCGATCTACAGCAGTTAACCGGATATATAAAAATGAGAAGATGTGGTATGATTGCCAATGAGGCAACTCTCCACCAGAGACCAAAATGACATAGAAGTTAACATCTGTAGGTCATCTAATCATTCATACTTGGTTTTAGAATGTACTTGCTTCATAATATAAAATAATAACAAGGAAATCTCAATATGTAACTTACGTGTATATTATTTACATTTTGTCCTATTTCTTCGTGACTTGGACCAAATCCAGCGATTTTAGGTTCAAACAGTTTATTCAGTAAAATATTTCTTGCTGCAAGTTTTCGATGAACTATCTAAATAGGTATGAAGATAAATCATGAAAAACACCTGGCTTAATATATTATGAAAAAACTCATCAAAGACTATTATTATGAAAGAACTATAAACAACTGTCATACAAGTGGGAGGTTTAGCTAGCTATAAAAACAGGTTTAACCTTCCGAAAATGCCTGTACCTGTTAGTCAGCAATATGACAGTTGTTTTCCACTCGTACCGGTGGTTGATAATGTTTGATTTTGTCAGTTATTATGCACTTCTTCTGTTAAAATTTACCTTTGATTCGGTATTTTTGTTATACCTTTTTACACCAACTATGACATGGAATATAAATGTTTAGGAAAAAATGAAATGAAATAAAAGTTATTTAATTACTTACTACTATACCGAAGGGGACTACTAGCTTTAAAACATCATGCAATATCGCGTTTTTAAAAGAAGCGATTTAAAGATTTTTCACATGATATATTTATTTATTTATTTAAAACAGAAACTATTTTGCAAAGCAGTAAACGTTAGTTGGATGTTTCAATAAGAAATCTATACTTTCTTTGTATTAATAAGTAAAAAAAAACAAAATTCCTTTAGAGAAAAAAAACACTGATTGTGTCCCTCTTAAGACAATCTTTTGTATGAAGCTGTATGATCCTTTCAGGCCTATCATTTGTTTGAGTATTGTGGAGTATAATTTGCAGCAACAGTGACTTTAGGGACAGGAGTGGTTTTTTCCATGCAACAACTTCACGTACCTTTCTCCATACTATTTGGCAGGCCTGCCTTTTACAATATTTTGATGATACTTTAAGGATGTAAATATGATAGAAGAGTTCCTGATAAAATTAATAATAATCTAAATGGAACCGATTAATAGACCTAGAAAGTTAAATTGATAAAAGTGTTATTTTCAAATTGTGTTTGATTTGGGTATCAAATCCCCGTTTATGTTCTGTCGTCTAGCCAAACTTACTTTTTAGAAACATACCTATGTTTCAACTCATTAACCGGTTTTGATTTTGTGACCCTTTACCACACAACGGTGTTTTGTGCCAGCGGAAACTCATGGTTCCAAACGTTTCACTTGGAATCAGCTAACGCTTGTCTTTGTGTGAACGCGAGAAGGGCACAAATCACGTTAGAACTATCAAAGTAATATCATACTATGTTTCGTGGACATCAGTAGATGGATTTCTTTAAAGAGAGAAAAATAATAAAGGGCATTCATATTTTTTTGTCATGATTCTTTTTTATTGTTTCAAATTTCTGTTCAACGAATATATGATAAATAATTACACGCGAACTTTTTATCAACCTAATTACGGTGGTAATATAGGAGCTGGTTTGCTTCAGGTGCTATAGAGATCACAGGATCACTCCGTAGCATGTACAAACCTAACAAGTATTTAAGAGATAACTGTATTGCATTTTAAGCTTTGCCTGTTTGAAAATTGAGGTAAACGGATGTTTCTCTGCTTAACAAGTCCCATTTCTGAGAGAGAACAACGAATTGTCGTCCTGTACGTGAAATCCTGAATATATAAAAACAGATACCTCTTTAGAAGCCAAGTAATCCATTCCTAAGCATATACCATATGCTAATCTTGCTAATTTATCTGAAATCTCCGCAGTAAAACACTCTCGCACAGTATCCAGGTATTGCTTTAATGTCCCATTGTCACAATACTCCAAAACCATAATATCACCACCTAGAATCGAATTTGATGCCAATTCAAAAAAAAAAAAAAAAAAGGAAAAAATTGGTAAGGAAAAAGCGACATTAAAAAAAAAAGAATGTAAATCCGATGTTAGAGGATTACTTATGGAATGTAAATAAAACTGTATATAATTCCGTGCGTGCGAATGGCTTTTCTGGATTAAGGTAGTAATACACTGTTAGGAATGTGACCTACCGAATTAGACTTATCACCGGATTTGTATTACATGAACAACAAGACGGGAGCCACAAGTGGAACAGGATCTGCTTACCCTTCCGGAGCACCTGAGATCACCCCCAGTTTTTAGTGGGTTCGTGTTGCTCAGTCTTTAGGTTTCTATGTTGTGTTTTGTGTACTGTTGTTTGTCTGTTTGTCTTTTTCTTTTTTAGCCATGGCGGTGTCAGTTTATTTTTGACTTAATGAGTTTGAATGTTCCTTTGGTATCTTTCGCCTCTCCTTTAGGAGTTTGGTTTCGCATTTTGGCTCCGGTTACTTTTTCAAATATGATAGCTATTGTAAAATAAAATAGATCACTTTTTAGATAGCTGAAGAATAATATAGCCTTCAAAGTGGGTTTATATGAACATCAAGATTATTGTTTGCATGTTTTTATAGGCAATATTCTGTTGGACAGTCCGTATTTTGACATCAGTACCGACTTGGTCCAGACTTATTGTAGTGTTTTCCAACAAATATTTTACTCTCGACCTTTTCAATTCAATGTATATGATTTTTTTTGACCTTTTGATAGATAAATGTCAATGGTTTCAGAAAAGGTATCAATCAAATGGATTGAAATTCTACTTTGGACCAAATTCTTGGGACTTATGTGACATTTTCACCCCCACTGTTTGCAAAATTTTGTATCAAATAAATGCAGATATTTGCCATGGATACACCAAAAAGAGATTATATTTCTCCGTTTCAACTATTAGAAATCAAAGACGATGTTTCCATACATATGCACATACATGACACAAACAGTAAGCCTTATTTGTTAGAAATCAAGGGAGAGCTTTTTTAGCCATGGCGTTGTCAGTTTATTTTCGACTTATGAGTTTGAATGTCCCTTTGATATCTTTCGCCTCTCTTAACGGTTACTCAGTTAATGAGAATAATCCGTTGGTAAAACTGTTTTTGATGAGAAATCTGTTGTTCAATTCAGTATGTCACTTTTCAGCTATATCAAATAAATTATAATGTTAAAATCAAAGAAAGAGGGGGCAGTAGGGCCAAAAACAATTGAAGTTTAGAGAAACATTTAAAAGGAGAAAGTACCACATTTTTGACCACTTGAAATCAAAGATACAAAAGTATTTTTGAATCTACCAATCCTCCAGGTGTTCAAAAACATTTTTAGTTAGACACATATCCGCATTTACAGTTTTGAATTTGGTCTTCTATATTTTCGTTGGGGCTTCAGACCTCTTGCATTTAGTGCAAAATCGCCAAAATAGCCATGATTAATATTTAGTAATGAGCCAATGCAGATGTATTTTACAAAGATGTCATTGCGAGGAAACATGTCATTTTGAATAAGAAATTTGCTCATATATATTTGTCACAAAAACAATATGTGTATAATGGCCATTTCTTATCAAACATGTCGATTTCAACATGTTTATGACTACATATATATATCACAAGTGACCTTTTCGCACTTAGGTATCATGACTGTATCAACACAATCTTCTTTTACATTTCACCTTTAATAATATTGCTCAGTTACTTTAAATTTACATTATGTGGTGTAATTGTATTTTTGTTAATTTAGGAAGTGCGAACAATATGTTTATCAGGTTAAATAATTTCAATGTATGCCAATATATTCAAATTTGAATGCAATCCGTTTTATGTCTATGACTTCATATTTTGAAAATATTTGACGGACAGATATATCTTTATCTGAATCAGTAATTTGTACAGAAGTCCATGTCCTATGTCATTATAATGATAAATTTTATTTGAGTTTGTACTAATATATATTTTCAAATTGAAAATGAATGCGTTTTGAATATAAACTAAATGCTATCGTCATTAACTTTTAAAACAACACAACAAGACAGCATAAAAAGCACGTACGTGCGTCATCCTCACAAGATCCCTTAAACTCCAACACATTCACATGATGTCCAACCTTGGTGGCGTAGAAATTGATTTTTGCTTTCATCTCTGTTCTTTGTATATCAGTGCAGTCCTCTGAAAAAAATTAACATTTGGTTAATACCCCGTAGAGGGAACTATTGTATCAAACTACTTGCACAGAAATAACAATTAATAATAGTAAGTGTTAAACTACTTACACAGAAATATGAATTTACAGTTTTTCCAAGTTAGAAGTATTTTGAATACTTTATGTACTTAATAGATATAAGATGAGGTATGAGTGCCAATGAGACAACTCTCCATCCAAGTAACAATTTATAGGAAATACACCACAAGCACGGGGACACATTAAACCTGCATTCCATCAACATTTTAATGTTTCAATTTTGATTGGCAGCAGAAAAATACATTAAGGACCACAAGTATGAAAATCGTTCATATACATTTTGTGATAGAAGTTCCAAATGTTTCCCTATCTCTTTCAAATGTGACCCAATATCATAGTGTAATTTTTGTAAGAGATAAACATTTAGTTTTACCATGAACAGTTTTAGCCACAACAGTTTCCTCCAAGTTTTTATTGGTATAAAGTTTAGCTCTAAATATTATTCCAAATTTCCCTCGTGCAATTTCTTCTTCTAAAGACAACTTGTTACGTCTGATGTACCAATGTTGTTCCCCTTCAAACTGTACATCACCATGGAAATGAACATCTCTATCAAAGACAGTTGAGATGGCACGATTCTACAAATAAAAGAATTTCATAATAATCAAACGATTCATATTTAGCTCCGATGAAAACCATAACAAAAATAAAACATAAACTCTTAAAGAAATGCTAGAATTTATGAATGATAAACATCTATGGCGGTATGCGATATGTTTATTTTTGTTGATTTAACATGAAAAAAACGCTCTGGAATATCGGTGTTACAGATGACCATGGATATGGTCCACTTGTAGTAGCATCAATCTCGTCATGTTATCAACCATTGCGAATTCACCGAATTCCTTTTTTAAATGTATAACGAGTTTTTACCTGCCCTGATCCTCACGAAATATGAAAATAACGGAGCAGGAACATCTTCAACTTCCAGAACGTTTGAGATGGGGGTTCATGTTTCTCATTCGTTAGTTCTATGTGCAGTGTGTTATTAGAGCACCCAATTTCACATGTCTGAGATTGGGTTCATGTTTCTCATTCGTTAGTTCTATGTGTAGTGTGTTATGAGAGCACCCAATTTCACATGTTTGAGATGCGGTTCATGTTTCTCATTCGTTAGTTCTATGTGTAGTGTGTTATGAGAGCACCCAATTTCACATGTTTGAGATGGGGTTCATGTTTCTCATTCGTTAGTTCTATGTGTAGTGTGTTATGAGAGCACCCAATTTCACATGTTTGAGATGGGGGTTCATGTTTCTCATTCGTTAGTTCTATGTGTAGTGTGTTATGAGAGCACCCAATTTCACATGTTTGAGATGCGGTTCATGTTTCTCATTCGCTAGTTCTATGTGTAGTGTGTTATGAGAGCACCCAATTTCACATGTTTGAGATGGGGGTTCATGTTTCTCATTCGTTAGTTCTATGTGTAGTGTGTTATGAGAGCACCCAATTTCACATGTTTGAGATGGGGGTTCATGTTTCTCATTCGCTAGTTCTATGTGTAGTGTGTTATGAGAGCACCCAATTTCACATGTTTGAGATGGGGGTTCATGTTTCTCATTCGTTAGTTCTATGTGTAGTGTGTTATGAGAGCACCCAATTTCACATGTTTGAGATGGGGTCTATGTTTCTCATTCGTTAGTTCTATGTGTAGTGTGTTATGAGAGCACCCAATTTCACATGTTTGAGATGGGGTTCATGCTTCTCATTCGTTAGTTCTATGTGTAGTGTGTTATGAGAGCACCCAATTTCACATGTTTGAGATGGGGGTTCATGTTTCTCATTCGTTAGTTCTATGTGTAGTGTGTTATGAGAGCACCCAATTTCACATGTTTGAGATGGGGGTTCATGTTTCACATTCGTTAGTTCTATGTGTAGTGTGTTATGAGAGCACCCAATTTCACATGTTTGAGATGGGGGTTCATGTTTCTCATTCGTTAGTTCTATGTGTAGTGTGTTATGAGAGCACCCAATTTCACATGTTTGAGATGGGGGTTCATGTTTCTCATTCGTTAGTTCTATGTGTAGTGTGTTATGAGAGCACCCAATTTCACATGTTTGAGATGCGGTTCATGTTTCTCATTCGTTAGTTCTATGTGTAGTGTGTTATGAGAGCACCCAATTTCACATGTTTGAGATGCGGTTCATGTTTCTCATTCGTTAGTTCTATGTGTAGTGTGTTATGAGAGCACCCAATTTCACATGTTTGAGATGGGGGTTCATGTTTCTCATTCGTTAGTTCTATGTGTAGTGTGTTATGAGAGCACCCAATTTCACATGTTTGAGATGGGGGTTCATGTTTCTCATTCGTTAGTTCTATGTGTAGTGTGTTATGAGAGCACCCAATTTCACATGTTTGAGATGGGGGTTCATGTTTCTCATTCGTTAGTTCTATGTGTAGTGTGTTATGAGAGCACCCAATTTCACATGTTTGAGATGCGGTTCATGTTTCTCATTCGTTAGTTCTATGTGTAGTGTGTTATGAGAGCACCCAATTTCACATGTTTGAGATGCGGTTCATGTTTCTCATTCGTTAGTTCTATGTGTAGTGTGTTATGAGAGCACCCAATTTCACATGTTTGAGATGGGGGTTCATGTTTCTCATTCGTTAGTTCTATGTGTAGTGTGTTATGAGAGCACCCAATTTCACATGTTTGAGATGGGGGTTCATGTTTCTCATTCGTTAGTTCTATGTGTAGTGTGTTATGAGAGCACCCAATTTCACATGTTTGAGATGGGGGTTCATGTTTCTCATTCGTTAGTTCTATGTGTAGTGTGTTATGAGAGCACCCAATTTCACATGTTTGAGATGCGGTTCATGTTTCTCATTCGCTAGTTCTATGTGTAGTGTGTTATGAGAGCACCCAATTTCACATGTTTGAGATGGGGTTCATGTTTCTCATTCGTTAGTTCTATGTGTAGTGTGTTATGAGAGCACCCAATTTCACATGTTTGAGATGGGGTTCATGTTTCTCATTCGTTAGTTCTATGTGTAGTGTGTTATGAACTGTTGATTGTCTTTTCCTCCTGTTCTGTTGATCATGATGTTGTATGTTTTCTCAGACTTATGGCTAAGGAGACATATTGGTATCTACTCCCGCTTCATACAAGATTACAAAATTAATAGATATTTTTTTTAATAAGTGTATGCCATGTTGCTAAAACAATCTTAAAAGGACCTACATTTCTGGTTTTCGGTGGTGTGTGGTCCATACGCCGGAGATCATACCACGTATTCCTAATTTGACTCATACGTTTGGTCATACGTCTTTTAACTTTATTTAATTTTCCCATTCTGCCTAAGGCAACCAACACTAAGACAACAACAACCAAAATAAAAACAAATCCTGAAAAACAGATGAATTCGATGTTAAATTCTACCTTCATCAGTTAAAATGAAAATAAAAAACCCGATTGCATTATGTATTACTTTGTGGACCCATTTTCTTTTATCTTTTTAATGAATAATTCTCATAGACTAAACAAAAATAATCAAATACGTAAGGGTTTATCTGATATCAAGTAAAATATTGTAAACAACGGAAAAGTACAAAAAACACATACCAATTAAATAAACTTACCGCCTCCAATGGCGTAGAAACCATACTGAGGGAATTCAAAGGCTGAAAAATACCCCGATCAAAGAGGTTAGATAAATCAGCAAAATAAACTCATAAATATTTCAATACAGTTAATTTGTTTATCGATAACTAAAGATACGATTTAGATTTTTTTCGCATCACTTTCTTCTCGGCAACTACACAGACTAGTATCATGTTGATGCAAGTTATTTTGTAAATATGACCGACGGTCATGTACGACAATAGATCATGATACCACTGAAGGGTTATATCATTTACACAATGATATTTCATGTCATCAGAACAGGGTTGACTACTGGGCTGTATAGATATAAAAGTGTAGACTAATGAAGGTTTGACTGACGGTCATGCATGACTATGAAAATGACGACCATGGTAGATATGACATACAACGCAACATATCAGAAAAGGGGCGCAATTGAAAATATAATTTTGATTTGATATGTTATTATTCTTTAATAAAAAACAAAAATTGAGAAAAGCAGCTTAAAAAAAGAAGAATAAACTTATTCATCGCAGCCGCGTCCCATATTAAAAACCTCAATGAGTTTTTTGGTTGTTTTTATGATGAGCAGCTTTGTTGTATCGGTGATATTAACATCCATCTTCTTTATTTTGAAATAATGTAAACGTATGTCGGAGGCTAAATTAGCAATTGATTTTACGTTTACGTTTCTACTAATACGTCTTTGAAATAAAATAAAGTAATAATAATAAAACAGAGTAATTATAATAAATCATAGTAATTATAATAAGACATAGTAATTATACAATACGTTTATCAGCTGTAAAAGCTGCATAGGCTAGTGGTGTTGCCAAGCTTTGTATATAGGAAGACACGTTCCCATAATCTGAATACATTTGTATGTCATGACTAGATGATGCCTGAAGATCTGGTATAGTAAACTCTGTGGCATCCTTGTCAACTTTGAACTCCTTGGTTTTATTATCGGATTTGACCACAACAACATTTCGAACTCTATCGTAGCATGTGGGTAATAGCTTCCATTGTATTGTTATTGTCCTGTCAGTCGTCTTTATGATTGAAATATTAAATGGACTCGAATCTGCATTAAAGAAATAAGTAGACAATAAGGGTAAACAACAAATCTGAGACGCGTTAAAATATCTAATTTATTTATTTGCACTAAGTCATTTCAAGTAGTGTTTACACAAGGCTCAGTATCATTCAAGCCGTGCCTCAAAATATGTCTACAGGGATTGGAATATATTTGTTCATGTTTGTCATGAAGATAAATATGGCTTTATTGATAAATAAATCATATTCATTGACGTAACGTGACTCATTCAAATTGATTCTCTTTTTCAATGCACTAAAAACACATGTTCATTTGACTGTCCCAAGTCATAATACTTGTGGGCTGTTTAGTTTTTTCTTATTCTATTTTTTCTTATTTTCATTTGGTGTTGATTTACATATCTCTGACATTTATTCAAAACTTTTTTAGACTATGGGGGACTCGATGATTTACGTATATAAATGATATAAAGAGTTATTTCATTAATATACTGCATATACATCATTGGAATTTCTATTGGATCATAATGTCCCTAATGAATTGCTTAGTTGTATTTAGTTTAGATTGTTTTGAGTGATTAATTCCAAAAAAACCCAGAACATGCCCTTTCCCTTCAATTATATAATGGTAGGCGTTCAGAAAGCATGTGTCTGATACCTCCTGTTTGCGATTTATCTAGAAACCATTTTTCGCCAAACTTCGTAACGTTCGATATTGCGAAGAGCTGAGAAGAGAAGGTTGCTATCTACATCCTGAGATCATGAGACAAAGAGTTGGTTAAATTTACTTATAGAGCCCATGAATCCGGGTTTTGCTATTATGTATTTTTTTCAACAAATTCTATGATGGTGTCTTTTGATTATTTAGTACTTTATAAATAAAGAATGTCCTCTAAAAGTTGAGAAGGTCAAATGGTCTGATGTTTGTCTTTTCGCCTTTGTTTATGCCATGGTGTGGTCGTCTGGCCTTCTGATACATTTTCTGATTGCTCCCTCGAAATGTTTTACTATTTGCCTGCAATTGTGAAGACTACTAAACAATGCGAGTTGTGTCACATCTAAAAGAAACCCTTATCACATTCACACGCATTCCCAAATGAGAAAGAGAGAGAGATGGTTGCGTTAAATAATCTGTTCAAAAACTTACAAGATGTAATATACACAAATTACCACTACAAATAAACCAAAGGATATTCAGGTCCCGATAAGGGACAAAAGTAATGTGCGATTATTTTAATCGTATGTAGCAGAATTCATCGCTCATTTATTAAAAATGAGAAAGATAATAATAAAGTTTTTGAATTTTGGATTTGATTGAATACCGTATCGTCAAAACTTTTCTTCTTGCTTATGAATATGATATTTGCCACTGGACGTTACACTACAAACCAGTAAAAGTCTGAAATGGCCTATATCTGTACTCGACTGAACTGATTTTTACTCGACTAGTCTGAATTGGTCTGAAATTTACTTGATAATACTCGACTGTAGTCTGAACCATACTTAACAGTCTGAACTTGTACTCGACCAGAACTTAACCATTTTATACGCGTCTGAACCATGCTCGACCTAGTCTGAACCATACTCGACCAAGTCTTAACCAACCTAGACCTATTTTTTGTATCTATCTATTGTATTTCATCAATTTAGGAACTGTTTTTAACAACAGCTATTTCCCCTGGCTAGAAATTTGAACAACAATTTAAAATTAAAAATGTATTCAATATAGCATTGAAACCAAAATTTCACAATAAACATAATATAACTTCATCACCATATTCATCAACTCTTATATACATACATATATATCACCTTTAAAATAAAAATAAAACAAGCTGATCAAATAATCTCAAAACTGAATTGTGACTAATATTTTCAATGTTATTCAAAATTTTTTGAATGTTTCAGATATATTTTATGGTTACTGGACAATTTTCACCATTAACTTAAGCCTCGTATAGATTTATGGTGTCAGTTGAGTTTAGTTAATAATGCAGTGAACATTTTTTTTTATTAAAATATATATAAAATAGCATATAAAGCAACTTAATAAATTTAAAAAATGACACCTTTGTTTTGTTAAACCAAGAACTTAATATAATCATGATAATAGAAGAATGTAGGACAGAAAGTCACAGGACAAAAAGTCACAGACAAAAAGTCACGGACAAAAAGTCACAGGACAAAAAGTCACAATTCAGTTTTGAGATTATTTTTCTTTAAACAAGAAACACTAATTTAAAAAATAAAATTTTTGTTTTTTCTTGAACTATTATATATGAAGCAACTTTGTAATTAAAATCTATTCAATAAATATCAATAATGATCAAATAATTGCTATGAAAACAAAATGTTAAAGTGGCTTGGTACTTAAATGGCTTCATTGTGCCAAGAAATATATTCTTTGCATGATTAAAATTTAATAAATTTTCATTTATCAAGGCTTATGAACAATTTCTTCAACTTAAAAATGAATATATGTAATAAAAAGAAAATATTTCAAGGTCTTTCTCTTATACATTCAAAAAATTGTCAACAAATTATTGGTGACTTTTTGTCCTGTGACTTTTTGTCCTATCAAATTTGTGACTTTATGTCCTGTGACTTTTTGTCCTGTGACTTTCTGTCCGTTTACCTAATAGAACTTCCATAGTAATCCTGTGATAAACTTTTAAAAAAGGAAATGTGTTCCAAAGTTACAGTAAAAATTTATTTCAATTAAATTTAAATAATTTTTGTCAAAATTAAAGACATGGCATACAAGAAGCACTTTAATAAGGTTTAATTACCTCAGTACATGTGTGTTTTACAGGTAAAAAGAAATCCCTATGTTTCTTAAACTCGTGTATTACTTATCTAGTGAATTCAAAAGGCCTTGCGATTTAAGTGTCACAGGATGTTGCAATTTTGAATGAATGTTATTTAGAATTTAATACTCTCTGACCAGGTGTGATCTTTTTCATGAGTTTGCCCCAAGCAGGAGGTATTACTTTATACTTCACCACTAATCAGAAGAACAATTTTATTAATTTCTTTAATTTTTATCCCTTTTTGATATATATTGTATATAATATATCCCAAATTATAATAATAGATATATTTCTAAAATAAGGTTAAACAATTTCATTGATTTTGTTGGCTGTTGTTACCTCATTAAAAAGATAATTATATAACTATTGTACATTTTTTTGTATGTAACCATGAAACCTATGTAGTTTTTATTTAGGAATTTAGGAAAATTAATAAAAAAAAAAAAACACATGCCAAACAAGAAGCACCTTAATAAGGTTTAATTACCCTCAGTATAGGTGTGGTTTTTAGGTAAAAGAAATCATTTTTTTTAACAAAACTCTAAAACTTTAAAATTAATATAATTAAATTATTATATAAGATAATTTGATTTAACTTTCTCTATTCGATAAATCTGAGAATCATGTAAGAATGTAAAAATCTGTTTTTATAATATATCTTTATTTTATTGTGGCTGTTGTCATGTCAGTTAAAAAGAAATTTATTTTAACAGTTAAAATTTAGAAAAAGTAGATGTTATTTGGTCAAGTATGGTTCAGACTGGTCGAGTATGGTTTAGACTGAAAAAAATAGGTCGAGTACAGGTCGAGAATGGGTTAAGACTATTTCAGACTGGTCGAGTAATAGTTCAGACTATTTTCAATGGCAAAGATAAGGGTCAAGTACAAATCAGTACAGTCGAGTATGATTAAGACTGGGGTCGAGTAATGTCGAGTAAAATTCAGACCAATTCAGACTGGTCGAGTAAAAATCAGTACAGTCGAGTACAGATAAAGGCCATTTCAGACTTTTACTGGTTTGTAGTGTTAAGAAAGCAACAATTGATCAATTAATGATATTCACCATAATATTTGAGTACAATTTTTTTCTAGTTTGTTCTGACGCCTGTCCAATTGTTTTAATTCACTTTTTTTACATACTGATGAAGGATATGTGAATAAACTTGTCATAGATACTAGGAATACAATTTGTACGCCTGACGCGCGTTTCGTCTACAAAAGACTCATCAGTGACGTCAGTATGTTTAACACTACAAAAGCTTTACGATCACCATGACCAATACGATTAACCTGTGTCTTATCTCGTTACAGCATGTTATCCTGTTCTTAGAACCCAGAATAGCCGTTTATCTGTAATTTGTACCGATTGTGTTCTATTCCCGGTTGTGACATTTTGGCTGTTGACCTCCTTTGTCTTGTTTCTTTTGGAGTTAAGATTTTGTTTGTTACATAAATATGTATTTTCCTAATGGATTTAAGAGACTTGAATATCGTTAGACTACTGTTTTAATTAATGAAGTGTTACTTTGATTTATAAAAGAAATAGATTGTTATAATCTTCCATTTCCGCTTGATTGTCATTTTCTTTCGAATATCACATTATTGACTCGTCATATATTTTTGTTGATAAGGTTCTACTGTTTCAGGTTTTGATACTTACATTGTTGTATCCCAGTAAACTGAGTCACAATTCCCATCTAAAAACAAAGTGTTAAATAAATTGAGCGAAAATGTTTCCAATAAATGCAGTTTGAATTTACAAGAGTTCACGATATAAATTTACAAGACGATATATATATATATATATTACTGTGTTACAACTCTAGATTCTACTGACGAGGAAAGGTAACACTAGGCCACCGGAGGCTGAATTTGAAGTTCAGTCTAGGTGGCCGAGTGGTCAGTATAGGCGGTGTTGTCACGATATCCCAAAAGCATGAGTTCGAATCCCGGCGAGGGAAGGACAAACATTAGCAATTTTAACATTGTTGTGCTGATATCTAGAGTAATTATGAATACAATATGTGTTTTCAGCCGTGTGTCACCTTCACTGGTGATCCAATGGATGGATTTGTCGTCGAGTTGTCACTTATCAAATGATTACTTCTGTGACTGCATCTTACGATCCTTTACAACAGATAATTAAGCTAATCTGCAATCAATTCCATCTTCATGCCTAATATATATCATGTACTGTGTTACAACTCTTGATTCTACTGACGAGGAAAGGTAACACTAGGCCACCGAAAGCTGAATTTTTAGTTCAGTCTAAGTGGCCGAGTGGTTTAGAGCGCTGGACACAGTGCAGGCGGTGTTATCACGATATCCCAATAGCATGAGTTCGAATCCCGGCGAGGGAAGAACAAAAATTTGCTTCCGCAAATTTGCAGATTTAACATTGTTGTATCACCTTTACTGGTGATCCAATGAATGGATCTGTCGTAGAGTTGTCACTTGTTTAGAAGTACTTATATATATATGATATATATTTTGTATTTTCCTGGATCAAATCTAAAAAGTAATATTGTATTTGATTCGTTTTATTCAACAATTATTAAGGTGATACTAATATAACTTTATCGTATAATGATTCATATCTTTGTCATTTGATTTTTTTCAATATAGAAATTCTTTTTTTATCATAAATCATTGCCAAAACACAATACCTGCCTGCTTTAGTAGTAAGTCGGTATTGACATCATATGTTAGGCATGATAAATAATGATATATAGATATAAGAAGATTTGGTATGAGTGCCAATGAGACAACTCTCCATCCAAGTCACAATTTGTAAAAGTAAACCATTTTAGTTCAAAGTACGGTCTTCAACACGGAGCCTTGACTCACACCGAACAGCAAGCTATAAAGGGCCCCAAAAATGACTAGTGTAAAACCTTTCAAACAGGAAAACCAACGGTCTGATCTATATAAAAAACCGAGAAACACTTATGAACCACACCAACAAACGACAACCACTGAACATCAGGTTCCTGACGTAGGATAGGTGCAAACAAATGCAGCGGGTTTAAACGTTTTAATAGGTACCAACCTTCACTGTTACCTGAAACAATAGTGTTACATCACAACATAGAAAGACACACTATAAAATATCAATTGAAATGGCTTGCCTCAATCAAAAGACATATTAACACAAACAAGTGAACATACACTAAACGAATACATTTGATCTATGACACAATGTAAATACAAAATCAATAAAATAAGGGGTGAGATGTTAAACGATATCAGAAAGCCAACCATAACCTTAGACAAATATGAAAGTAAATGAATACGGAAATATTTTTTACAAAATAAATAATTTTGTTGTTCATAGTACATACATGTTATGAACATCACCTCTCAATCAAAATATACTTTATGCAATGTAGTTAGAACCAAACCCAGACACTTAAACTAAAAACAATCATAAGTTGAAGAAACGCATACATTATCATGGCAAAAACTATTAATTTATCAATTCAAAACAACAAGTAAAACATTTTACAGAATCCCAAAGATTGAAGATGAAATGAGGTCTTTATGAAGGGTATCCATTTCCTCCTTCCCTTGTAAAACGTCGTGTTGCTCATAGTCTGATAATATGTCACATTCATTCAAAACTCTAATTTAACGAAGGAAAGAGCTGGTTGTGGTTTCGACAAATGGGACATATACATGAGAAATCTTTATAAATGAATTCTTTGTAAACAAAAAAACATCTAGCATGAAGTATTAATAGGAATAAAAAGAATTGGTCAAAGGTACGATCAATAGTCGTTCAGTCCTCGTGTGATTTGCACGTTAGATTCGCAGTTAAATAACCATGGAAAAGACCTTCAGATCAACATGTTTCGTTCTTCATTTTCTTTTAGCGTTAGACCTTTTACGTTTTAACTTCAATGTATCTTTGTATCTATCTTTACCATACATTTTAAATAAAAAAATGTAGACCAATTGTTTAAATCTGTCTTTATGTTTGGAATACAATTGATTATGCAAGGAATACCTTGGAAAAGGATTTAGAAGTCAAATGATTTTACGAAAAACAAAAATATACCCTGATATATTATTGTCACTTTTCGATATAATTTGGGTCATACCATGTTGATAGTTTCACAGTTACTCTGACGCCCGGTTTTGCTTGCTGTTATTAAGTGTCTAAGAAAACTTACGTAGTTGAGTAACATTTGATTGACATTCCTTTGGAGGATAAAACCGACTTGATCGTTAAATATTTCCCTTTTCCCACTTACCTCTTTAACAATAGAAGTAGTTACCATGGCACGGTTAACAGCAGTTATATGTAGAGAGTATGTTTCAAATTCAATAGTGTCTACAGGAACAGTCAATTTACAGTTGTCAAAGTTTATTTCAAATTTCTGGTTAAAACAGTCATCCTGTATACAGTAACAATCAGGATTGACATTCTCCGGACATTCATTCTGTGTCTGCCGTGATAAATGCACACAGTTAGTTTATTACAAAGTTATTATGAGAACACATTTGATATTCAATAATTTCATACTCTAGAACACTGGATACAAAATATTATTATGGATATTAAGTCATGTTAAAATCTAGATGACGTATGTTTGTAGATGTCGAAGGATTGATATCATTTTATTTTAATTACTGCTTGTATGATCTTTTATGCAAATAATTTCAAAATAGTTCCTTTTTATGTAAAATATCGAAAACAGATATGACACTTCACATTAGATCTACTGTGTATGTTAAATTTTGGGTGTAATTGAAATTGAAATATAATATTGGAGTTCCAAATTAGATTCCGATTAATGATACAAAAAATCATAAAGTACAATTTGAGTCACATTTTATACTTGTTATCTGACACCATATCATATTCACGGGATACTTACGTCTACCAGAAGAGAAGAGGATTATAGAGGATAAAGCCATATTAGACTTCATTTATCAGTTCGATACGTGAAACATAACAAATAAATGACAAAAGGTTTAAAGTGTTTTTTTCCCTTTCTTACTATATCCACATGAAATCAAATAAAAGGAATGGAATTCTTCATTCTAGAAATTGAAAAACCACTAATGTGTGAATTTTATATTGTTTACACCTGTTTCTATGCATGGCCTTTATTGTTTAATGTAGAAAAGGGTGGATTAAACATGGTTTTATAACTAGATAAATCTCTCACTTGTATGACAGTCGCATATAATTCTATTATATTGACAACAATGTGTGAACAACTCAAACAGACATAACAGGAACAAATGTCAAAAATAGGGGTGCAACAGTCAACATTGTGTTATAACAAACAAATATGTCAACAAAGCAAATCAAAATCGCATATAGACAAAGCACATAAGCAAATATGAATGACAAGAATACAAAAATGACTATAGAACAATAACACAATGGCGGGATGCATAATTACCGAGCCACGCCAAAAGGATATTACCAAAAATGGACTAAACAGTAAAGGTTAATAATTAACAAAGTATATATAGTGCATCTTTTTGATTTAAGACAAATAGTCACAAAACAACAAAATTTTTGGTAGGTGCAAATCATATTGGATCGTAAAGATTCCATTAGAAAAGATCCACGTAAGTATAAATGGTTGGTCATATGCATTAATTTGTTTCTTTGTCTCAGCAAATAATTCTGAAAAACCTTTTTACACATTTAACAATCAACCGTGTTTGGGTACACTGTTTTGTTCTTTAAATGTATGAACCAAACCACAAATGATCTATAATCCCGCTTCAGATTCTATTATATTTATATTTTAAAGCTAAACATATGAGTCAATTGAAAAAACAAAAAAATCATCAAAGATACCAGACAAGAGCATTGATGACCCAAAGTTTTGAGGTTAAAAAAACTTTAGTATTTAGAACAATTCAAAGTTTTATGAATAGTTCTTTTATAAAGATGACCGAATCAAAGATATTTAATGTCAACATAGAATGACTGACTACTGGGCTGGTGATACCCCCTAGGAGGACATTTCCATTTGCAGTGGCATCGACCAGTGGATGTAAACTAAAAAACAATCAAATATACCAGGCGTATGTATCTGCACGCAAGATGCTCGTTTAGTCTACCAAAGACTCGAATAAAAAATTAAATGGTCAAATACCTTTTATCATAGTATTGTAGATGTGTTAACGTTTGAATAACACAATAACCTTGTGTTACTATCATTTTGGAAACTGTAGGTGTACTTCTTTCTTCTTAATTCATTTGATTTTCTTTGACACATCATCAAAAAAAGTAAAATATTATCTAACTAAGGCGACAGTAGTTTCCCGTAGTTCAAATCTCAACCAAATCTCGAATATCGATTAGGAAGAGACAAATCAAGGTAACAAACAGAAATCAAGAGATTCCAAAAATAGCGGAACCGGGTGCGTCGACAGGGTAGGTGTCTCCTAATATACATGCATCACCTGTGGTGCGAATTCACACCTAGTCAAGATGTCATAATCGGGAATAGGACCCAATTGGTAAAATTAAAGAGCTAAGAACTATACTGGTAACGAAAGATTTAAGACTGTGAAAACATGTCGCCATTAAGTGGAGACACCGAAACATCGTATCGGACAACCAATTTGTGATGGTGACCGTAAAACTTATATCGTTCTTCCTTATGACTATACTACAGCAGTTTTTGTGTAAGAAGCATACCCCTGTTAATGAAGTTATTATAGTGTGAACATGCAGGAGTATAACGTATTAACTCAAATATGTAAACGCCAAACGATGAAGCAGAAGGTATGTTACTGTTGAGAAATGGGAAGTTGACAATTTGAAAGTTGAAACCATCACTTTTGTAATATTATAAGATTCCAGTTTGAAGTCGTCCATATGTGTCAATATTGTTTTTCCCTTGTTCCGGTAATTGATAGCGTTTGATTTTGTCAGTTTTTATGGAATTCTCCTTTTTGAATTTGCCTTTGAGTTCGGTATTTTTTTTATACTTTTTCACAATTAGTAACCGTTTTTATACCGACTGTCTGCTAAAATATCAATCCACTAAACTCAAATTGTATGCAAATAAGAAGTCGGACACACAATTCACTGAAATCCCTTAACTTTCTTTCAAACTCTCTGGACGACAACCTTTACTTTTGGATTTGAACAATAAATAAAAACTGTTCAAATGTTTTGTATGATTTCTGTGGTTTTTAGCCTTCGTCTTCTCTTAATTTATAGTCTGGCCTTTCTGTTGAATAAATACATAATGCTTAATAGTTAGAATAAAATATTTGTTTTCAAAATACAATTTTAAAAGGGAGCCCCACGATAACAAAGGTATATTGCAACTCATAAGTCAATGGTGAACAGAAACACATATGGCAAAAAGACTAAAGACGACGAAAAGACATACAAGAGTCCACACAACACAACATAGAAAACTATGGACTGAGCAACACGAACTCCTACGAAAAACTGGGATTGATCTCACGTGCCTCGGAAGGGAAAGCAGATACTGCCCCATAGTTGGCACCCTCTGTGTTGCTCATGTGACGCAATGGGATCGTAACGGTAGAATGTAAATGAAATAAAAGGTTACCAAGAGCTATCATGACAGCTCGTAATACCATTTTCTTGTATAAGAAAATATATACGCAAATGCGGAGACAACTTCGCAAAAGTAGAAATCAAACTGTTCCGAAATATACTGAGTAAAGCGATCATAAGAGGATATTCGACGTTTGTTTTTCACAGTTAATCTGTGCTAAGGGTTATTGCAGTATTTAAAAACAATATTGTCTATGATTTATGTATAATTGTTCCAAAAACATAAAGGAACAATGCCAATTTTCTGTATGAATTTAATAGTTTTTGTTTTAAAAGCTTTAACTTATTCTCTATACCTTATGTCACCATACGAATATATTCGCCCTTTAGTCTTTGGTGTATAGTGTACAAGATCGTGATATCCATTCGTGCACATTCATTAGATAATAAATACAGTTAAATTAAATGTTGGGCTCTATGCTCTGATTATCTTACGTCTTTTCTTTTCATTTACATTTTATAAAGTGTTATTTTCATGTACACGCTGGTCTAAAAGCGTTTACACTTTACTTGTAGCATTAAGGTCAGTACCTGTAATGGGACAAGTATATCCTCTATTGGTGTCTTAACTTCGCCAGTACTGTTTAGAACGAACTTCATTGACAATGATTTTAGTCCACTATGGTCATCCTTGGATTTGATAGTTACCCTTTAAAGAAAACAATATTTCTAACCATTACGGTCTTTGATTAGAGAGATGCAACAAGAAAAGTTATAGCTATAAGAAATAGAAATGAAATGCAAAGAATTATACTAAATAGTATATTTTACAAAATTCTCCCTTGCAAACTCCATGTTAACTGTATGTGATGTATACACCTTTGGTATTAATGGATATCTCTGATGTTGTAACAATAGTTTCCAAGTATTGTTTTCTGGTGTACATTTAATGTACAAAAATGTATATTGCACTTAATGTACTTGTTTTATCATTCTGTTTATTTTTACATTCAACTAATAATAGTATATATTATACCACGTATAAAATAACACTAAGCAGTCATATGATGCTTATTTATGTTTGAACACCAAATACCATTAGCCATGGGAAATATAATTGAGACATTACTATATGTTTTGGTACACTTAAATTTCAATTTTGCTTCAAATTGAAGTTCTTATCACCTTTGATATTTGTACTTAACATTAGTTTCTTGATAAATTCAAATTGGATATGTTACAGTGAATTTGTGAAATCAGGGATTTTGTAAAATCTCTGAAATCGGAGATTTTGTAAAATCTCTGAAATAAATAGTGATTTTGTAAAATCCCTTAAATAGTTGGAATTTGATAAAATCAATGTTAATATTGGCAGGGATTTGGTAAAATCCTTAATTACAAGTTCAAACTTAATATCAGAATTGATTTTTTTTAAATATAATTCGACTATTAAATTTTGAAAGATTCATCTAATAGTCATTACTGATTTGCACTATTTCAAAGTGACTATGAATAAAAGGCATATGCAAAGATTTAATTAAGACTACACTTTCCTTAATTTTGCATAACAAGTTTGTGTGACATATGCTGTTGCATACTAGCTCTGCTTTTCAACAGGCACACCTATTTTTCACATCTTCACATCGAAGAACTTCATACCTAGATTATTAATAATATTAAACAAAATGTACTTTTCATTTGATTTTGATGTAAAAAGTGCAGAAAATATAGCAACTTGTTTATCCATTCCAAATAGCATTGATATATATATAACAGTATCTAAGATATGACCAATGCAAGTGAAGCATGAAAAAATACCCAGGTGACCTAGTTTTGCCTGGTTGGTTACCTATCAATTGAATGCAGGTCCAATACAAATTAATTTTTACATACTTTACTATTTTTGTGGATACATATCTCTTTTTCTATGTAGCATATTAATATGACAACACTTATTTGATTTTAAGATTTCCTTTGTACTGATCAAACATGAAAAATCGACGATGATAATAGTTCTTGCCGTGTTTCCAGAGTTTGAGTCAGAATAATGTTACGGGTAGTATGACATGGTTTCCTGAGGACTTGTACCATGTGAACTAGCTCGTTATTATTCAGGCTCTGCTTGTCAGTCCAGCATAAAACAGATTCACGTCACATTTATACATGCCTTTAATATTTTCTACTGAAAGACATAGCCAAAACCAATCCATTTATAACTCCTTGCATGTTTTTTTCTACGCTCACAAAGTAATTAATGCATTGCGTACTTTCTTTACATTCGATTTTAAAAAAAGATAATTGCTTTGATATTTTTCATCAATTACAGATTGATCCTGGTTTACTTTTATAAATTTTGACTTGGATGAAAAATTGTCTCATTGACACTCATACCACATCTTCTTATATCTATGAAGCATTAAACATTACCTCACTTTCGAAGAAAGCAGTAATAAGATCTTGCTTTTTTTCTTTTTTGAGGGTCTTTCTGGGGCAGATCCAGAAAAAAATCATAAATCATAAAGCATCAGTGCGTATCCATTTAGTCATTTCTAACCCAATGTTTATGATTTGTTAATGTAAAACCATGCCAGGAACCTGAGGTCACTAAATTCATCCAAATTCAAATTATGCTGTATATGGTGCACGATTATTTGCAACCTCATGGGGTGTCAACGGGTCCTCTGGATCTGCCTCTGCCTTCAGCAATATATTTCACAATTTCCTCATGCTTTTCCAGTTTCCATATATATTTTCGCCCAGTTATTTGAAAATTGCACAAATTAACCCAAACTTGTTACTGCTGTAGGCTTTTGTCTTTTTTTCAATGAATTATTCAAACAAAAAATTTGATTATTTTACAAATTCCATGAATTAAATCAGTAAATCTGTATAAAAAATCCTATTTCGGGGATTTTGTAAAATCCCTAGTCAAATCAGGGATTTTATAAAATCACTAATCAGTTCAGTGATTTTATAAAACTCCTGAAATTTCAGGGATTTTACAAAATCCCAGATTTTACATATTCACTGTTAAACAGATATGCGTATTGTACACAATTCATCAAAATATCCAAAAAATATACTTTTTTAAAGGAATAGCAGGATTTAAAAAAAATTATGACAGAAGCTGCATGTCAACTTGATCTTTCGATTTTGTATTCTATCATCTATAATTATATTATTCTGTTGTGGTCTCTTAAACAGCACAACGGACATATTTTCTTTGTGCACAAAAGAGCACAACATTACAAAAAGGAGCACAACATTACACAAAGGAGCACAACATAACATAAATGAACACAAAGAAGCACACAATAACACAAAGGAGTACAGAGGGATATCATAAGGACCTAAATTGTATTTTGATGTACAGATGTAGATTAATTGATATAAAATAACTGAGTTATATCGGTAACAAGATTCACGACCATGCCATTTACAAAGACAATACATATGTGTTTACAAAGACATTACATATGTGCATACACTTACGGGACCATGCCATTTACAAAGACATTACATATGTGCATACACTTACGGTACACATGATGTATACAAGTTGTAATTTAGTACAAATCATAGTTGAACAAGTTATCAATATTTTGTGAACCCTTTTTTAAATAGTTTGAAGAAAAAAAAACCAAGCACACTTTCTTTGATAAAGCTTATCACTGTCATATTTGCACGACTACAGTGTAGTCTTATAAATTACACTAATACCAAGTTTATATAGGACAGTGGAATATATTTTGGGACTTGTAATCTGGTATTAGCTATTAAATATTTAAAGAATCATACCCGATCTGGTGACCTGATTTTCTGATATATGCCAAAGAGGACTGTGCTTAATGTAAGGTTGACTTATATGATTTGTCAATAAAACCTCAACGCGTTTGACTTTTTAAAGAGTGACTTGTATTACCCAATACAAGATGGTGATTATCAAAATACTGAAAACTTGTACAAGAGATCTGTATCCGTACAAAATTAACAGAATTAAAACTTATCGAATCAATCTTCTACAAATAGTCACTGACATTGCCTTGAAATCATCGTTTTTATCTGAAAATTGTTATCAATCAACTACTTACAATAGGGTACTTTACCTTGAGGTTAACATGTGTATGTTAAAAGTAATATCCGGCTCATACAGATCCGGTGGTGATTGATCAAAGCGAACAACAGTAGTGTCTACCTTTGTATGGTTCATGATATCAAAGGCTTTCACCCAGACCTGCACGGCATATCCATCATCTATTGTATGAGGTGCTATGTCAATCGTATCGTGTTCTTGAAGAGGATTTACAATTCTCCAATTAGATTCCGAGGGTTCGGATTTTTGTCTAGTTATTTTTTCGTGTATTATTTGAAATTTGACAATGGCATGGACGTTCGGTATTGCAGACTTTGTTCTTGCCCCCTCATTGTCATCAAATTCAGCAAGAATTCTTTTGTATTCATGGCGATGTGGGTTTTCTGGATCGCTAAGTCTTGCTTCATACTTAAGAACTTTAGCTAGGAAATTTCCCTTCTCGTGTATTTCATTGAAAAAATGGCCTGTCCAGTTTACCTTTACCTGCGTTATATTATCTTTCAAATATAATGTCTGCCATATGTAATCTGTAACACTTAAAGCTGATGAGACAAACAACTGGTTTGTTGAACTTGTATCTATATGCGAAGTTTTGTCATATATAGCAATACGTCTCACGTATTCAGAATTATTAGCCCGGTCGTTGATTTCGAGAATGACTGAATATACACCGGGACCACTAGGCTCGTACATTGGAACTGATATGTTATCGGCCATTATTTCAGTTATATACAATGGCTCTGGATTATATTCAGATTTTATTTTCGGTTCTAAAAGTCCATTTTCGTCAATACTGAATTCCAATTTCCACACTTCAAAAACATATCTTAGAACACCAGACAGAGTGTCTATCCATCCACTCCAACTTCCAGTTATTGTATCCTAAAACAGTAGCACAAGACATTCATATTTTCTATCATTAAAAGGTATAGGGTTCTCTCAGTAGTTAATGCTTCTGTATTGACATGACTTCTAATACATTTTCTGAAATTCCCCGTTGAGTCAAGAAATTATTAAAAATCTAAAGTTCAAACCTCCTCAGGCAAAATTGACCTCAGAATTTAGAGATTCTTTTTTTGGGTCTAACGTTTCTACGTATTTATGCATGTCCATGGATTTAAAATCTTTTAGTTTAAGCGTTCCTGATGAAGACAAATCCAGATAAACTGTGAACACAGAGATATGTCTCGCCTTTTTGTAATTTTGATAATGCAAACGTTGAAATTATGCAAATATTCAAAGTCAATAGACCATGACTGAAGGTACATGGCTAAACAATCTCCATGGAAATGAGATGTGCCAATGATAATACAACTGCATACCTAATACCATTGACTTATCATAAGTCGTTCCGTTTAAACACAATCATTAACTTGTAAACTAGGTAAAAGTTTCAAAGTCAATGAGCCATGATGAGGGGGTGGGGCTATATAATCTCCATAGAAATGAGTCTTGCAAATGCCAATAAATTTGCATACCAAATATCACTCACTTAACATTACCGCTTTATATAATCACAAACTAATACATGTAAACTAAGCAAAGGTTTCAAAGTTAATAGACCATGACTGAGGGGACGTGGTCAAATAATCTCCATGGAAATGAGATGTGCTAATGCTTATACAACTGCATACCAATTAACATTGGCCTACCACTAATGGCTCCCCTTGAACTGACATAATCACAAACTAATACATGTAAACTAAGCGGAAGTTTCAAAGTCAAAAGACTATGACTAAGGGGGCGGAGCCAAATAATCGACATGGAAATGAGATATGCCAATGCTTATACAACTGCTTACAAAATATCACTGACCTACCACTACTGGTTCCTCATAAACTGATACATGTAAACTAAGCAAGTGTCAAAGTCAATAGACCATGACTGAGGAGGCAGGGCAAAATAATCTCCAGTGAAATGAGATGTGCCAATGCTGATACAACTGCATACCAAATATCACTGACCTACCACTAGTGGTTCACCATAACCTGGACCTAATCACAAACTAATACATTGTTGACGTCACCGCCGACGACGCCGGAAACAGCATACCTATGTCTCGCTTTTTGACTCCGTCTTTGACGCACGAAATGAATAAAGCGATGTTTCATCATTGAATTTATTAAACATTATGGAGGTTAATATAATAAAAAAAATCTATGGTTCCGTTTTCTTCTTCTTCAGTGCACTAAGTTCTTCCTTTATAAAGGCTATTGGGGGGACATAAAGGTTTAGACTATCTGTTTTACTATCAATATAGTTGAAATGTGTTAAATACTCAAAAGGAAACTGTCCATGGTGACGAAATATATCAGTTTATGTTGGAAATACCCAAAAGGCAATCAGAAACCATAAATGAAAACTTGAAGACAAATAACACCAACGGTCAACTAGAATACCTCTTTCGATAAAAAGCACGAACTACTTATAATACTAGAAAAGCCAGGAAATAATGCTATTAACAGAATTATATCCCAAATCGAGATAACTAACATCAATTTGAAAAACGAAACCAAAAATCGAGAGATTAAAACCCGATTTTAAAATTAAACAATTACAAATCGAAGACAAAAATATAGCACTAGGATTCTAAATCAAAGAAACACAGACAATTCGAAGAAGTTTACAATTACACACCAGCTGCTTTATGCATTTTTGTTTTACAGAGGTTATTCTCATTTTATATAGGATATTAAAAACTGCATGGACCTTGAAAACAGTGCCATCAAAACTTCTTTTAAAAGTGCTGATGCAAACACAAACCTGAGTAATATCCTTGTTTAATGTCATTGCAGAATCCAAATTGCATGCTGAATCACCAGTTGTAGAACAATGGATTGGTACGTCATAATCAAAACGAAACTCGATGACATTTTGCGACATTGGACCAATGAAATATTCTGTATCTGTCACGTTACCGTAGTCTGTGTTTATCAAAACTCTGTATCCACCAGATATCACAATAAATTTAAGGGAATACCTAGTAGTAAAATAAAACAATTGAATATATGTTATATCGATCCATTGTTTAAAATAACCACATACACACTCACATACCTACCCCTCCCAAGAAGCAATTATTTAGTTCGCTTAAGCTTAACTTCTCTAATTAGTATTATTCTGATTTTGGCGCAATTGTTAGGCTTATATCCAGATGAAATTAATCAAAATACACGTGCTTATACCTAAATTTTGGCATGGAGCTTCGAGATATTTGTAAATTTTTAAATAAAAGACACATTTTCACTTTAACAGTCGGTTATGGTATGTGCAAATACATGTGGATATTTTTTTTAATTTAATTTGAAGACTATCATGTTTTTCGGTAGTTATTATCATAATGATGCATTTTCGCAATTATGCGATGACAGATGATGGTAACTGGTTCCTGACGACTTCCGGTCATCCATCGACCATTACAGAATAAAATAAAATAAAAACTGGTAGAACGAACTGTACTAGAGTTTGTTTGACCTTAAGCTTTCGTTTAGTATATAGATTTTGTAATTGCCAGAACTTTTCATAAGGGGGGGGCGCTGAATGACTTAAGGGGGGCCCGCTCCAGTCATGCTTCAGTGATTCCATATATGATCAACCAAATTTTTCTCACGAAAGGGGGGGGGGGGGCCCGGGCCCCCAGGTCCCCCTGGATCCGCCTATGCCATGGATTCGATTGATTGGCGTTTACTCAATATTTCATGTATATTCGTCTAACATCGGGCCCGGTATGAAAGAACATACCGGAAAGTAGTACATATTTTAAACAAAATAGTTCCTTTTGTTGTTCGATAGAAGAGAGGCGAAAGATACCAATGTGACATTCGAACTCATAAGTCGGAAATAAACTGACAAAAGCATGGCTGAAAAAGGAAAAGACCAACAGAAAAACAACATTTTACAGTACAAAAACGCAACATAGAAAACAAAAGACTGAGCAATACGAGCTACACCAAAAGCTGGGGTGACATGAAAAAGGAAAAGACCAACAGAAAAACAACATTTTACAGTACAAAAACGCAACATAGAAAACAAAAGACTGAGCAATACGAGCTACACCAAAAGCTGGGGTGACAATAACAATCTTACGATTAAAGTAAATTAAAGTCATATGAAACTTCAAATTTAAAAAATAATGAATATGTTTCATATACTTGAATGGCTAAGTTTTTCGATAAAACAAGTGTACGTGAACTTTCTTGTAAAAGAAAATCCTTTATATTAACAAAATCTTCATAAATGTATTGCTATGGAATTATTGTCTTCCCGTACAACTAAATCGCCGATATTTTACAGTATGCATAACTCTCGTTAGAACTTCGGCCACCGCACAACGCACTAGCGAGGGAAACCCGTGATGAAAGAAACACACTTGCAATGGGAGTAATAGTAATAAAAGATTCTTAAAGAACAAATCAAATACACCAAATCATTTAACAACTGAATAAAATCTACTCCACTGCATTTCAATCAACAAAAAACACTATAAACTTTAAAATTTTCAGTTCAAGTTATTACATAGAATTATAGATACACATTCTTTTCTTTATAAATGTGGTTTAACAGAAACAGAAATGTGCACTTTTTGCACTGAAACCAAAGAAAGCTTGTTGCATATCTTTAGGGAATGTGTATACAGTAGACATAATTGGATTGCACTTCAAAACTAATAATTAAACTGTGGGTTTATCCTGAAACAGATAGATGCAAAGGATATTATTTTTGGTACTGGGGAAATTTTTGATCCATATAATGTTGATTTTAAAATATTATATTTATAGCTGTAAAAATTCGGGAGAAAAACCTTATGTGAAAGGTTGCACTGAATTTTTATAATATTGTGGTAGAATAGAAAAAAACATACGGTGAATTATTTATCCCCATACACAAAAAGAATATATGATTAAAAATGGTTGCCATTATGTGATTTAAATATTGCATAACTGGTACAAAAAAAAATAGTTATATATTTTTTTTTATGTTTTGCTATTTTACAGTTTAAAGGAAATATCTTAAAGACTATACTTGCAACTGTAACTGTACAAATGTAATCAAGCTTGGTGTTTTCTGTCTTGATGTAAAAAAATAAACAAATAACAAAAACAAAACTATATCAACAAATATGAACGCTTGGAAAATAAAAAAAAATCATGACTCTATCAATTCACCTATTTTTTTTACATGCTCCACAAAAAAAAACGTGCATACAGGACTTAGTTTAGTACATATGCATGCACTGGTTCAAAAAATTTCGATAACATTATAATTCAAAGACACACGTTTCATATGACTTTACATGTAAAACAAAACCCTAAAACAAAACAAAACAAAACAAAACCAAAAAGAATCTCACACATCGCCGGATGACAGTGAAATGTCGTTTCTTGTTTCTTTAAAACACTTCAAGTCTTCTACAGGATTATCATTAGTTGGTTCTATGCATGTTAAATTGTTTCTGTCTGCTACATATATACTACCTAAAGTGTAAAACAAAATATTTTTAATTAAGAAATGTTTTTTATCAGTTCATGCTCTGTCTGCGCTCATTTTTACATGGGTAGGCATTACATTTGTTAAGTGTTGGCAAGAAACTTTCGAAAAGCATGCAATATCGTTTGAAGAACAAACAAACAAAAAAAAGTCTGAAAAAAAAACAAGGATTAAAAGGGTTCAAATACATATAGACTTACTTTTAAATTTTTTTTAATGTAATTCCTGACGAGGAACTCTCGCAGAATGTCCATTTTCATTCCAGTTTTATTCAAAATACGTTTCAAATTCAATTTCGACTTCAAGCACGTGTATTTCATGTTTTATTGGAATAAGAACATGGGTTTGTTTACAACTAAGAGGAGAGTGTCATAATATGATATCGCGAATAGAAAAAATGTTTGTTACAAATTGATCACAATAATCAACTGCCAATTATTGCATATTTAATCAAGGAATTCAAACATTAACAAATATCCAACGATTGACCGAACAACACATTAATTTACGAATGCGCGTAGCTTGGTCTGCTTACTTTACCGGAGCACCTGAGATCACCCAAAGTTTTTGTTGGGTTAATGTTGCTCAGTCTGAAGTTTTCTGTGAAGTGTTTTGTGAACTATTGTTATCGCTATTTTACGAAAATTTCCTTTGATCTTACTGACTGATAATTTCCTTTCTCAGAGGAGTCGAGTGATATGAAAATTATCGCTAGAAACTAAGGGGGCACGTGCCGTTGCTAATGAAATTGACATGAAATTGACAACGTCGTCATAGGTAAAATAGCGATAAACAGATTATCATTGGTCATCTCAACTCGATTGCTTTTCTCGCTTTCGCCGTACCGGCTCAAGCGAGAACATCAATCTCGTTGCGATGATCAATGATAATCTATAATTCTCATCTCGTCTTTCGTTGTTTGCCATGGCGTTGTCAGTTTCTCTCGACTTCTGAGTTTTGAATGTCACCTGTTATCTTTCACCTCTTTTTTTTTTATTTGTTGATCGGACACTGAATGAACATTTGCTTAAAAGTAAACATATTTTTCACAAAAAAATATAAAAGTAACAAAACAAAAGTATGGCTATATCAATGATATTTAACCAGTACGACAGACATTTGCTACTCGAATGAAAAGAAAATCAGAAAATTAGAATTAACACACACACAAGACAACAACAACAACAACAAAAACATGACTAAAATAATTACTGAAAAATCTTTATTTCTATCACCCGAATTGATAGAACACAAAATGGGGTAATATCAGTTTTTCACTGGTATGTTCTTCCCTTTATGTGAAAAAACTGCATTGTTCAGAGAAGTCATTTAGGCATCGCAGGTCTGTTCTCAAAATGTTAACATTCATTAACTATTCGATATCCTATCATTTATAAACCGTTTCATTTCATTAGTTATTAGTATGTTACAAAAAATGTTACATACCATCTTGATTAATTTTTGTGTGCTTAATCTCAAAATGAGCATTGACTATCCCATAACTAGTATTTCCGATATAATCCGGAATGTTTGGCATATATCCAAATAATTCATCAGCATCAAATGTAGCTATAATATTACATTGTAGAATATTAAATTGTGGATTATTTGTCCACGTGATATCGATTCCAGTCTTGTCAGTAGCGTCAATTTTATATTCAGAAATAAGTTGATGTGTAGTTGCCTTTCGTCTTGTAAAGGTTGCATTACTCTGTTCGATCACAGGAGTGAAGTTTGCTGAAACTATAAATTCAGTTCTATTATTGAAGCTGTATCAGATGTACTCGCATCTCTGTAATATTGTTGCTTTCAAAGATTAAATAAAAAATATTTACTTCAATTTCGATTAAACAAATCACAACAAACCATATCAAAGGCTAAAAAAAAAACACAAAAAAAAAACCAAATAAACAATTCAAATGATCGTGCACAGTAATATCGGAATAATCAAAATATTTCCTCAATAGATTCAGAATGCAAGGTATCAAATTAAACGGATTTAATTGACTGTGTTTTTCTTAAAAACTTTGTTCAGAAACGATTAGAAATAGAAAACCAAAGAAGATATGAGCAATAAAATAAAAATAAATATCATGAGTTAAAACTGTTTAATGGCAACCATTTACATTGGCACCGGTTTAAAACTGTATCGTAAGAACGAATTTCAAATTTATTCCAGGACATTAAATACTCATTGTGTAATCAACACGGACTTGATGTTTTGCATATAACAGAAATATTATAAAAATCCTTGTTAGTGCATACATAATAAACATGTTTCTCCACCAAATCCATCAGAACAGATGCAATTATCTGGTTCTGTTCTGTTAGTACCGTTCATAGAGCTATCAGTGGTGGTAATAACAGTGGGAACAGTCGTCATACTCGTATCAGTCATGTTAGCAGTACTGGAACCAAGACATCTTCCTGGGTAACAGGGATCCAGATGGGAACATGATGCAGCTATAAGATATGACAGGAATTTGTGACGTAAATTTCTTTTAAAAGCATACGACTTTACAAAGTTGCATTTATGTATTGAAATCAAATACCAAAAGGCTTTACTTTGTTCGTTGTCTTTATTTCGATTCGACAAGTAAAGTCTATTTGTTTATAGTATATTTATTGTATCTCACTTCTCCAACCCCTTAGCCTTGATAGGGTCGAGTGAATGTAGTAATGTCTTTCTATGTTGTGATGTTACACTATTGTTTCAGATAAGGGTAAAGGTTTGGTACCATTAAAACGTTTAAACCCGCTGCAATTGTTTGCACCTGTCCTAAGTCAGGAATCTGATGTTCAGTTGTTGTCGTTTGTTGATGTGGTTCATAAGTGTTTCTCGTTTTTTATATAGATTAGACCGTTGGTTTTCCCGTTTGAATGGTTTTACACTAGTAATTTTTGGGGCCCTTTATAGCTTTATGTTCGATGTGAGCCAAGGCTCCGTGTTGAAGACCGTACTTTGACCTATAATGGTTTACTTTTATAAATTTGGACTTGGATGGAGAGTTGTCTCATTGGCACTCATACCACATCTTCTTATATCTATATAATATGGCAAAATAATGTTTACTTTTAATTATTTAACATTATTTGATCATCGACAGTGATTTAACAGCGTCAGTATAACTTCAAAAACACTTCATAATTTCTCATTTAAAAATATCAATATACGTGAAATATGAATATGAAATGTAATGTGTCATAACATTCGTTATGTTTTTAAAAGCAAAGAATAGAGCTGAAAGTAAGGAAATTTACTGAAAGTTTTCACAGTGTCATTTAAATAGCCTCTCTACAGATTTCATTTAAAAAAAACTATAATATTACATCTCTTTAGTTTTTAAATGTAAAGATGATTGCTTGTCTTGAATTTACGTTTTGTATATGCTATGACTGCATGTTATTTTTTTTTTACCTTTGCTTTGTGTATATAACATAGCCATGTACGATATCTTTTTGTAATCAACGGTTTCCGATTACTTCCTTAATATTTTAAAGATTTTCTTGAAGATAACAAAAACATATATACCAATAAACACGAATGTAGATTTTGAATCATTTAAATCAGCCGTATGTCGTTGGTTCGTGTCTGTCATATCTGTTTTTCGTAAATAGTTTTGTTATAAATTAGGCCGTTAGTTTTCTCAATTGAAATGTGTCACATTTTTCATGTCGGGGCCTTTTATAGCCGACTAAACGGTATGGGGTTTTCTCATTGTTGAAGGCCGTCAGGTTGTCTATAATTGCTTACATCCATTCCATTTGAACTTTGGTGGATAGTTGACTCATTTGCAATTATACCACATCTCCTTATTTTTTATATATGAAAAATACCAAGCATAGTGCTTTAGACAATTATGATAGAACAGAAGAGTGTGTAACAGGGTTAATATATTTGATGTTTACTTACTTCCATCACAAAAATCACCTTCAAAACCAGCAGCGCACTCGCATTCATTAGGATTAACACATGTTCCTCCATTTTGACAAGGTGGGATACAGATTGCTTAAATGGGATATTTGATAAACATACATTACAATACATCTGTAAATTTCATACAAATAACATATATGTAGAAAAATGTGAGAAGAGCACAATTTAGTTACTTCACCAGTTACATATAATACATTTTCTCTAATTCTTCGTCAATTTATCCCTTTCTGCACCCATTGTATAAAAAAAATTTAAACAACGTGTGGTTCGTTTAATCTCAGTTCTTCATTGGTTAAAATCCGATTATGACGTCGAATTTTCTTGCTTTCCTCTGAATTTCCTATTGTGACGACATGAAAAAAGGCGACCATGCCTGATGACGTCACATAGAAAGAACACATCTTTTTGCAGATCATTCGAAAAGAAGGAATAAATTTGCCTGCGTATTGTTTGAAAATCATTAGAGAAACAGATTCCACCACCAAATCTCGTGTAATACGATATTTATCCACTCTCGACAGTTAAATTTTAAATATTTAAAACGCTCGGCGAGCCTCGCGTTTTAAATTTGAAAATTTAACTGTCTCGAGTGGATAAATATCGTATCACACTCGATGCAGTGGTAGAATCTATATTTATTCTGAACATTTCTTACTGTTTTCATTGTCATTATTTATAAAGTGTTATTATCGTTTGGATGTTTTCCTGTATATAGAACATCTCAATTGATTTGGGGCCTCGGTGGCCGAGTGGTCTAAGTAGTTACTACTGTAATCACTAGCCAGTCAACACTGAGGTTGTCAGTTCGAACCCCGCTCGTGCGGATGCACTCGACTCCAATCTTAATTGACTAGGATTGTCAGTTTTCCTATCGAAGGTCGGTGGTTTTCTCCGGGTACTCCGGCTTCCTCCACCAATAAAAACTGGCCGCCACGAAATAGCCCAAAAGCGGTGCTTAAAAGTGGCGTTAAAACACCAAAAATCAATCAAATCAATCTCAATTGATTCATTTAATATCAAAGAACGTTACATAAGCCATAATACAATCATATAGAAAAATGGACACCTTGAGTCATATAATAGCTATATAGTAATGTTGTTGTAAGTTTTGTTTCATCGTCATTTCTTATATTTACATATCCCATTATTAATTAGCAAACGGAGTATCCAATGAAACATTAGGAAACGTCTTCAACATGCACAAAGTGGTACTGTACTTGTGATTTCAAAGTTTGTAAAGTAGCGAAACATAGGACTTCAATATGTATATGTTCAAGTATAGCAAATTAAAATGTTGTAATACACATTGTCTTCCAAATATATTTTCATTCATTAAGTTTAAGTGAAGTATCATATGTTTTTGTTAGGTTCCGTGAATTTAACTGGCTAAAAGATTATAATTCCACAATTTATGAGAAGCTTATATTTGTATTCAGCTTTATATATTTTAATAATCAATGAGAAACTCGCAAAATGAAACGAAGAGCTATCTCAAACTTACGGATGTTACCGGAGATCTGTCTATTTTACGGATATTACCGAAGATCGGATTCAAACTTGCGAATGTTACCGAAAATCTGTCTCAAACTAACGGATGATTCTTAACTTACAGATGTTACCGAAGATATTATCAAACTTACGGATATAACCGAAGATCTATATCAAACTTACGGATGTTACCGAAAGCCTATCTCAAACTTACGGATGTTACAGTTCTGATCACCGTTATGTTCCCATCCTGGACAACAAATTTGTTCTGATGTGTAATATGGAGTGTTTCTAGCTGATCGGCCACAACACCTGTATATATTTAAAACAATCACATTTATAAAGTTAAAAAAAATAAAGGTTTGCTTTATTGTTGGTGGAACATGAAACTACTAACACCTATGTTTATCAACTTTGAAAGAATAACTATTCTCATTTATCAGATAACAAAATAAATCTCATAAAACCAGTTTGACCGATACAGTAGTATATAAACGATCTCTAAAAGAAAAGATTCACGATGCTTTGCCAACTTATAAAAAAAAATAATAAACAAATTGTATGAAGTAACTCACTAAAATCTCAAATACTTTAGCTGTTATTGGATTTGGTCATACATGCAGGTAAAGTTCGTTAACTTGTCTTTCTTCAATTTGATGTTATCAATATAAGTCTGTGGAGTTATTATTTGAGTTAGTGTATGACCATAAAAAATGAACATATATTGTGCTGGGATATAACAAATTACAAAGTATTATAAATTTAAATAAATATTTTCTGTGTTTGATTTCAGTCCATATTCCTTTGCATCTTCGACAATGCTTTTTTAATTTATGTTGTTATTTATTCATGGAATTTTTACTGACAAGATTTTCTTACCACCAGAGTCTTTTACAGCTACAGTAGTAACTCGTTCTGTACTTTAGTTTTTTCCTGGTGCAGCTATGTCTAAAACGAACAAGTAATAAAAATACAGAGAAGATTCAAACCCATGTGAATAAGAAGACAAAGAGCAAGGAAATTATAATAAAAAGAAAATCAGTGGCATAGTATTAATGATGCAGATCACAATGTCTCACACATGTATATATAATATAGGCTGATATAATAACTGGATATGTGTTACACTGACAATTGGATATGTGTCACACATGTATATAGGCTGACATGACAACTGGATATGTGTCACACATGTATGTATATTAGGCTGATATGAGAATTGGATATGTGTCACGCATGTATATAGGCTGATATGACATCTGGATATGTGTCACACCTATATATAGGCTGAGATGACAACTGGATATATGTCACACATGTGTATAGGCCGATATGACAACTTGATATGTGTCGTAAAATGTATATAGGCTGATATGACAATTGGATATGTGTTACAAATGTATATAGGCTGATATGGCAACTGGATATGTGTCACACATATATATAGGCTGATATGACAACTGGATATGTGTTACACATGTATATATGTTGATATGAGATAATCCTTCTCCGTCGTTTGACAAAATAATGTTTTCGCTTACTCCCAGAAAATATCTTCGTCTTAATATTTTCTGCTTCCAAATTAGCAAGAGAGTTATTTTTTATGTTGTACAATCTGATCATCCAACTTAACTCAGTGGCAGGCAAACACTAAAATCAAAGACAATAAATCTATGAAAAATGCATTTTATTGATCAGGTTGATCTTTCTTTCTTAAATATGATATGTTTCAAAAAATGAAAAGCTAGATAAAATAGTATTAAGCCACATTGGGAAGAAGAAGATGTTATTAGTGATTGGTGCTATGATATAATAAAAGACAGAAGAAAGAAGAAACAAGTGGACATTTAAAACCATAAGTCGGAGAAAAACCGAGTGCACATTTACTTTCTATACAATAGATATAATATATTAATTACAATATTGCTAAATATGTCTGTCAAACAAACAAATCCTTTGGTACACACTGTATACCATAATGGATCAGAAATTTTAAAAATAAAAAAGATCTTATCTAGACTATTTCCTAAGTCCGAACAATACATTACACCTTTTAAACTAAGGGAGACAGCCCTGACAGCAGATATTCATTTTACACTATCTAAACACGATTGTATATTAGAATTTGTTCTTTTTGAATAAATGATAGAGAAAGACCGCCTAAAATTGTGTGGAAATTATTTGAACTTCTAAATCATAATAAACATTATCGGGGATGAACTCAAGGTCAAAATGGTAAACCATTCCTGCTCCACGAGAGTCATCTATCGTATTACCCCTGTTAATTATACTGAATTTATTTCACCAGGGCCATTTTAAAAAATCTTTGAATCTTTGAATCTTTACTTAAATTGACAGATAATTAAACAATATCATGGCTCATTTCTTAACAGATCACATAATTATAAACTCAGAAGACACCCCAAAACCTCAATGTTGAGAGATTTTGACAATAATTTAAAAGAAGGACATCAACTAAAATCAAAAGTATGTTTGAAGTAGAGCTATGTATTGTCTTTCGGATACAACTTAATTCATTATGATAAACTGCGTTCTTCGCTGCAAAATTTGATAAAAAGATGTAAAATTTGCAATTTTGTATCAAAATTCTTTCAGCGGTATTATGTTGAAAAATATTTAAAGTGTATGACACTGTAATATTCAATTTCCAGAACTGATGATTTGAATTCTTTTAGATTTTGAACCTGTGTGTGGAACAAATAAAAGGTTAACTGGTCCTACTACCTCTTTGTTGATTAGTCATAAACGGAGATGTGTTTTTGACCTCGCGTTTTCGCTTTTTGCGTTTTCTCGTTTGTCAATTACTGCCCACTTCTGTCAATCATTTCGTATCTATTTATCTGATGATAATGATTAACAATTTAAAGATAACCTGGCTGAATAGTATTACTTTCATGTACTATTTATTTTTACAACGAGTACTTATGTATGTAATAATAATAATAATAATAATAATATCTTTATTTATAGAGAGTTACTCAATTTTCAATAAATACATTGTTGACCATGTGCTTACAAAACAAATATAAAAATGTTTAGCATTCTTTTTTTATTCATTTTGTTTTCCTCATTTAAGGAACTTGGTGTTGAATGCACATGCATAGTAAACTGTGTATATTTCATTCATAATTTGTTTAGAATTAAGGCGATTAATAACTGGACGCATGGTATGGACACTTGTTTGTAACCGCATTCTGAACTATAGAAATCTTTATATAGTATATTGTATTATAAGGTTGTTGTCTCATTGAGGAAATATCCCACATTTTATTTCAATCCTTATTGAAAAAACTAAAAAGTTGAATAAGACATTACCATGTACTTCCTTATCTACTGAGTTTACCATATCTTAAGAAAACTGAAGTAGGTCTGTAATGAATGCAATTATTCTCTTAATTAATTCTTGTCATTGTTTAAATTCTGTTCATCATGTATTTTTTTCCACTTATAACATCAGACTAAGATTTAATCTATATTGGTGTAAACTTGCTTACACCTTCCTTTAACACTCGTAATTTATAGATTCTATTAAAACTCAAAAGAAAAGGAATACTTCCTCAAATAAGTTTTTAGTAAGTAAAACTATTTTTTTTACACATTGTCTAAGAATAAAAATATCAACAGGCACGATTCAGTTTTTTATAGAACCAAATTGAAAATTCTCTCAACAGGGAAATTAACAGTTAAATGATATTTCCAGTTTTCACTTCCCAAAATTTGACTTCCTTTGCAACTCTTTTGTCCACAATAAAAAAACTGTCATGTAAAAACCTCGAGAATGCGCTCAATATATATATTTTCTGTAGAAAAAAACCAGTACAAACAAAACGGGATGGTACTGATTTTCTTGCGAGCGACACGCTGTACTAGGAAAACCTTTATCAAGAAAAAATAAGAACAAAATTTTGGAAAGTGAAATAATTAAAATGTTTAGACATTTGTGATACGTGTCTTGACTTATTGATGATGAAAAAACTATTAAAATCTTAGTTTAACCTTTGATTTAAATGTATAAATCGAGATTTAGTTGTTTAAACTTTTTTAGCGACTTTCGTGATAATATTATCTAATTTGTCTTCCCTTATTTTGCTGTGTTCTTAAATAGCGTCATCACAAATCAAAGGAGGCACTTAAAATTAATAATATATTTATCAATGAATCAACTACTTAGTCAATCAACGAAAGTCCAGCATCAAATTAATTGTGGAAATAAAGAAAGTTGGCTTCTTGTATGCGTGTATCATGCAGTTGTTAAAAAAGAAGAAAAACATATAAGGGGGTAATCATAACCCATAAGACGAAGTCAAACAGACAAAATTATGACAAGAAAACTACACAGAAAATAAAAACTGAGCAAGACAAACCCAACAAAAAGTCAGGGTGAACTCGTGTGCTCCGGAAGGAATAACAGATCCGACTCAGTCAGTGGTACCTTTCGTTTTGCACATGGCAAGTAAACATTCGGTGATAAGTCATAGTCGGTGATCAGGGTGAACTCGTGTGCCCCGGAAGGAATAACAGACTTTCGATTTGCACATGGCAAGTAAACATTCAGTGATAAGTCATATTCGGTGGTGTCACAATGGAGGACAAGAGGACCATATTGTGGCAACGACAGTTAGAACATAACCCAGATCATTTGTCACACAGATATTCCATAACGGTCAACCAAATCATGATGGCGTCTGTATTACTTTCGAAGAGATGACTTCGAATTTACCATTTGAAACCGTTTGTCCAGTAACCCTCTATTAAAGAAGTTATATTAGAAATTGCAATCCCTAGAATATTGTATGACATTGAAGATATATACGCAGATGCTGCTGAAATGAAAATTCACAATAACATAATTGAAAGATCTAAAACCTACTCTTATTGTCAATATCTAGATGCAGGTCAAGATTTGCACCGAACTTTACTGTATCTGTGGTATCCTTTATTTAATTTTAAAAGATGCGGTCAACATTTAGTCACCAAAAATATATAAGTCTGCGAAACGACATCATCTATATAGCGGAACGCAAAGCTCAGGGGAAAGGCAAGGTTCTATTTATTTTTCTTGAGATTTCCTGTATGAAATTGCCTTATACGAATAAAGGAAAAGGTAAGTCAGAAGAGACCCACGGTTGTTTTTTAAAGGAATTGTCTATTGAAAGCACCTACTCAAAACGTAATGGGATTAAATGTAGAGGAATACATTTGCCAATATAGATACTTCCAATTTTCGAAAACACTACTCTGTCTCAAACTTGATTTGCTGTTATTCCTCCGACGGACAGTGAAGTGTTTTTGTATGATGATGGCAACAATAAAATGTTGATTGTCTGAAAATAAGATAATGGAGTTTGGCAAAAGTTAACGTATTTACTTTGTGTATCAACAAAACGTTTACCAGAGCGGACTGATGACGGTTATTCCAAAATATGTGTTGTTTGCACGGAAACATATCATTTGTTTTATTACCGATGCGTCGGGCGCGAACTGCTGGTTAACTATCAGTCCAACAAAGTGTTTTAGAAAAGGAAAATAACGGCATAGGAAAACAATGAATAGACAAAACAGTTGGTAAAAAACGAAAAGTCAGAGAATAGGACAAAACGGCAAGTAAAAGACGGAACAGTCGTGGGAAAAGACAGCGCAATCTGAACAAAAGGACAACATGCAAATTGATAGTATATAAAACGGAACTAAAAAAGTAGAAAATAATGCAAGGTCCATGTCCTTGCTTTTGAGATATAAACCATAGATATTTGGCGGGAAATGATTCTCTCTAAATTTTTCATACATTTAACATTGGCACTTTTTTTTTTTTATAAAAACCATGAAAAAAATAACAAGGATTCTATAACATTTTCAAATTATATGTAATAAAATTATGAAAAGAATAGTAGGAGTTAGCGGGCAAAATTTTTAATCGCACTACATGG